TGTCACGTCTTGTTTCATAGATCTTTTGATGTAGTTTCTTAATATGTAAAGTTTTTTAATTTCCGCTCCAATTCTCATTTGCATTGAAAATAACTTCAGTCAAACATCGTAAACCAAAAAAGATGATTAAAATTGGGATGGAAGTAAGGTAATATACATTATGCTGTTGTTGTAAATTTAAAAGAATACTTTTAAGATGGAAGTAAATTAAAATAGTAGGGCTAATATTAATAACAACGATTACAACAATATTTTGTTTATATGAATTTCCACACCAATATTTACAACAATATTTTGTTTATATGAATTTACAACAATATTTTGTTTATATGAATTTTCACTTAATTTGAATTTTGGGACATAGTTTTGAAATAAACTTTAACACATTTTTCTTTCTTTTGTCTAATTTTTTTAGTTAATTTTAGTTTCCAGATAAAAACAAACCAACTTAATGATAAGAATTGGAAGATATTGAAAGAAACTGGAAAAAGTTGGAATGAGTGGGAAGAGGCTAGGAGTTGAAAGTTTAGAATTCCAACTCAAAAGAACATGACCTTACAAAGAAATTACTTCATCATGTATCAACGGTAATAAGTGGCAATGAGTTGAGGATTTTGAAGTAGTGTATTATGCACAGAAACCATTTTCATCCGAAAAGTTTTCCTTGAAAATTTGGTCTCTGCTGTGGAGCGGAAAAAATCCTTTTTGGGTTTAGACTTGAGAAATCAGTTTTCCTCCTCCTTGGGAAGATATGGTTTGCAATAGAATTTTGTAGGACATGTAATGTCAACTTTTGAATGTTGGCTGGCCTAAAAAATATTTTATGAAAGTTTACCAAAAACTAGAAAATGCAATTGAAACTGGAAAGTTTATAAGATACAGAGTAATTATTACTGGGGTTATGCTCTTCTCTAGGCTCTGATTAATCATATTTCTCTCAGGCATTACTACAAAGAGATCTCCTTGTCGAACTTTTGGCCAAGCACACTGGAAATGTGAGTATGAACTTACGGGCTTCTTTTAGAAGTACTCTGTATTTAACTATTTATTTGTTTGCAATTTATAAAACCAATAATATTCATGTCAATCTGTATATATCCCACCAGCCAGTAGAGGTTGTGGCTAATAAGATGAAAAGATCATTTTACATGGATCCTACAAGAGCAATAGAATTTGGCGTTGCTGACAAGGTAAAGTTTCTCTGCTGTCTCATTTTAAACTCATATCTCTGTTTCAGGAGCTATTACAAACACTGGTGCTTGCCCATGTTTTGTTTCAACCAATTCCTAAGTGTCATTAATTTTCGACAACATAATCTTTGTTCTCTCTTTCTCAAATGATTTTCTTATATGAACAAAAACTACATTGTAATAGAGTCAAATAGTACTCGAATAATGATTTTCTTGTCTTTCTTGAAATAAATCCCGTTTTTTACCTTTTTTACCAGAAAATTGTTTTAAAAAAACAATATGAGAATATTACAAAACGAAGTCTAGTTATTTAAAAAATGGTATTTGCAAGTTAATATCCTTTTTGATTCAGATCGTTCGACGTGGTGAGGAGACTATTATATCTCCCTCAAAGGATTCGGACAATAATCCTAGGTATTAGATCCGATGATGCTTATAAGTAATTCCAAGAAACAGTTGAATGGTAATTGCCATTTTTGTGTGTTTTTTCTATTGGCCATGTTTACTTGCATGTGAGTGTAGATCTTAAGTACCCAGGTTTGTATTTGGTCATAGCTTTTGCTGGTATATGTATATTTACACTATTGTTAAGATGAGAACCATATTACATGGCTTAGTTCGGATTTAAGATGATCTTACAGTATTGTTAAGATGAGAACCATATTATTCTATCTCTCCCTGTCCGGATTTAGTTCACTTTTTTTTGTTTTGTTTTTGTTCATCTTGAATGAGTTGTGCACATATCATATTTCATATTCAATGAAGAAATTATCCACGTTCTTAACGAAAATGTTAACAAAGGACCATTCGTGAAAATTAATCTAATAATTGGGGACTAAATTATTAATATTTGATATGTATGAACTAAATATGTAAAACGACCTATAACTGGGAACTTTTTATGAAATTTACTCTAATTTTAAATATAACTATATTCAAATAAAAAATTATTCCAATCAGAATCATCCAAATCAAGTAAGGAACATGGTCTCAATGTGAATGAAGCGTATTTAAGTACTCGGAAACAAACCTTAATTTGTTTCAAATGAGTGCTACAAGTTCCATTAATTAATTGCCATTAATAGATGCCCACTAATGCTAATGCATTATTTGTCCCTAAAGTTAATTCCTTTTTTCTTTTTTAGAATGTTTAAAAAAATCCTATTTCTATTTTTATTTTTTTTGAGTAATGCTAGAGTTACAAAAAAATACTGGTAGTTCACAAACCCATATGATATCAGTTTGGTTTTGGTTCGTGATGAAAAAATTAATCCTCTATAAACAGTTTGGTATCATTACAATCCGGTACAATACCTAGTTCGGTTTTTTTTCCCACTCCCAGTTTTTCTTTTTTCTTTTCATATTGATCCACTCTTTGCCACACTTTGGATTCTACCGTTGTTTTTAGGTCCTATGTTGTCATGGTCAATTGTCAACGTTGGAAACTCATGTGTTTTTTTGGCTCTTGTTCCATAAAAAAAGATGAGTCTCGTATCTGAGAGTCCCCTAACACCGGACCACCGGACCAGACTATCATTGAAAGAAAATAATTTAGACTTTGATCGTAGATTGCTAACAGAGAGTGAAGTCTACACATGATATTTGAAAATTAATTTTTGTCTTGTGCATAAAATGCTTTCATTTTTTTAGCTTCATATTCCGATCGTCTTTTCTGGTGAGTAACTCCACTTCGTTCTTGTTCGACGGTGCATCGTTCTACACTCTCTAGACTTTGCACGTTGCGATTTTATCTTGTGAGAAGGTCGTCCACGTTGGTAGTGCGAGAGGTGGACGATACTACTTTAAGGAAAGCTCTTGCGACTCCGCTTTCCTTAACCATCTGTTTCAAGTACTACTCTGACCACCACTGCTCGAACTGTACTGCTGCTTCGACGTTCTGCACGCTCTAGCATATGTTCATCTGATCTCCGAAATCATGTTTTTTTAATTTCCTTAATTATAAATCCAAACAGTTTATAAGTTCAGATCTCTTTTTTTATTTTTTCATTTCTTACTGTACTTTTTCAAGAATATGGACACATTACATCTTAGATTTTTTCCCTAACATATAATAACCTTTTCTCTCTTTCGCATCTGCATGACTTAGACAAGTTTGACCGCCCTTTCTCTCTCCTAAGTTCACAACTCTATTACATCATTGTTACAAGTCTTTCGATTTATTTACTAGTACGTGACTTTTTTTAGTATTTGTATCAATTACATGTGCAATTGATGAAATCAATTATCAATATTTGTGCATTAGATGAAATTAGTCATTCGTTAGTGATTCTCTATTTTACTTTTTTTAAGTAGGAAATTCTTTCTTTTATTTCGTATTACATTTTCACTTCTCAGTGAAATTTGAATTGGTCTTCTCAATCTAATAGATTAGGGGATTTCGTCCGATTCGGTCCTAAATCGATTGTTAGAGCATGTGTTATGGTGGCGTGACTTACTCCTTCACGCCCCATACATGCCCCTTTCCCACGATGCCTTCCAAGTTTTTGGGCGTGGCCCCTCACGCAGGGATGACTTTGCGCCGTTGCCCCATTTTTTTTAAATTTCAATCAAAATGTAATACACATTTACTTATCATCATATTTTATTTTATCAAATACTTAATGAAATCGTGTAAATAAATAAAAATTATCGAGAGGAGAGAGAAAAAATTATGCTCCCTCCGTCCCTAAATAAATTTACAATTTTTTTATCTCATCTCGATAAATTTTGTTTGTTTACACGATTTCATTAAGTATTTGATAAAATAAAGTATTTTTGTCACCTTTTGTTTTGTAGAACTTTTGACATAGTTTTTTTAATATGTAATTTTTATATATTATTGATATACCAATTTGTAAATAAAATAATTTCAAAAAATAAGAAATTTTTCTTCATAATCCACAATTTGTAATCTATTTAAGTACAAGGAGAATAATAAAAAAGTGAGGAATATGTATTTTTCATCACTCCACCTCATACATCTTAACATCTCGTCAAGTCCTGTCAAGCCCATGACCCATGGCCTAGGCCCGGTCTTAGAGCATGGGCAGCGGCTTCCACGCCTTTGCCATGCCACGCCACCTTAGCCAAAAATGATTTCTTCCTCGCGTGGAATTACCAATTCCCCACGGTATGCAAGGCTTGGGCAAGGCAATCCACCCTACTTTTTTACTTTTAAATTTTTATTTGAGAAAAAAATTATTTTTTTTGTAAGGTAATAGAACTATTTTTTACTTTCTCCATCCCGCAATAGATTATAATTTTTTCCCTCACCTCTCGATTTTTTTGTTTATTTGTATGTTTTCATTGATTATTCTTTAAAATAAATACTAGTCACTTTTTTTTGTAAAATTTTTGACGTAGTTTTTTTAATATGTAAGTTTTTTTTATCCTTATACTAATTTTTAAATAAAATGATTTCAAAAAACATGAAGTTTGTATTGTAATTCTAACATTGTAATCTAATTTGAGATGAAGGGGTAAAATAAAATACTTTGTATGGAATGGATGACAAAAAAATTCATAATTAAAATATTTAAAAAAAATCTGTTACTTTTTTGAGTAAGTAGAGATATGTTTTTGATAAAATAAATAGGTAAAATAATTTTTAGTAATTCAAATATGTCAAGAAAATGAAACAAATAGCAAAAATTATTTTTAATAATTAAAATACATTACAAAAATTTTAAAAAGTGACAAAAGTAACGACTTGCCACTGTAGGGTACGCCACTCCACTCACTTGTCACTTGGACCATTTTTCATTGGTTGATTGCCATTGTTCAATTACAATTCGGTCTTACATCCTGTTAGGTCCGTTTCTGGAGTGAGGAAGACAAGAAAATGACGACGACGGCCTGAAGTTCAATCGCCGACGACGACGGCTACTATGTCTAAAAGAAAGCAACCGTTGTCGACGGGTTCTTCAAATTGACATTGAACCGAACAAAAGTTATTATTACTGAAAGGCTTAAGTTCGATGAATCGAAAGCAATCCAAAATGTTTTCGTTTTGTTGTTTGATGTATAAGAAGTAATGCGAATGGAGTTCAAGCTTGTCACACCATCATCGTCATCTATGAAATTTGCCCTTTTCTTCTCCCTCTCTCTTGCAGTTGCTTCCCACTCCACATCCGCCATAGCTGCTTTCTCTCCTGACTTGAGGCCTGCTCGAAAGCTCAATTTCCGCCTTTATTCTTCTCTAGCGCCGCCACAGGACTTGGCTGCCGCCTCCCGGGCCACAGCAGCTGATTTGATCTCGCTTTTAGGCCCATCACAGCAATCCTCCGCCATCAGTTCCAGAGTGGCTGAGGAACTCCGGGCCTGCTTCAAATTCCTCGTACCTTTCATTTCTGGATCTGAATCATTGAAACCCTCCTTGCACGTGCCGAATTGGGAATTGAGTCGCTCCAGGAGTAGGCAGGAGGAGAATGAGCTTGTTTGGTGGCCACCTGAGCCAGTGATGGAGCTCGCAAGGCTTGCCGTGGACTCGGGTGGCAATCCCGGGGCTATTCATTGGGCTCTCGATCCGAAAATTATCCCTGTGAGTGCAACTACACCTTCTGTTGATGAGAAAAAGAACTAATTGCTTGCACTTAAATCATATGTATTTTGCGATATGAGCTAACAAACTCTCTCAAGAAGCAATATTACTGGATTTATTGCAAGAATTGCACTTTGTTGGGAATGCAGCACCCTTTCTTCCAGAACGCTAAACATAATCAATGTTTATTGTTTTATGAACTTTGGATGCCAAAGAAATTAAGACCTTGTTTGGAAGTTAGTCATTGCTCGGTTGTGTTAGCTGCATTGAACAACCCATTGGTTTAGTAGTTTAGGTCTGCTGGTTTTGTTGGCTGTTTATTGAAAATTGTTTGATAAAACTGGTTGCTTGCAAATAGCTTTGTCTAGATGGAATTGCGTGTAATAACATGCGTTCATTTGTGGAATTAGTAGTTGATTATTATTTTCATTATTATAGTTTTAATAATTTAATTTTAGTTTTAATGTAAATAAGTACTGGTATTGCCCATGTACTCGTATTAAAATATGTAGACAGATAATGATTATATTTTTGATATGGGTGTGTGTGTATCTCATTTGTGTTTGTGAAATGAAAACATTTATGTGTGTATGTATGAAGGATAAAACTGTAAAGAATGTTTCTATTGTCTAATGCCCACACCAAAAGCCACAGCCCTTGGTTTTTTGAAAATTGGCTTTTTCAGAGCAAACAGCCAACCAAAACAACCAGTTGCCAAACATTGATTGTAGTTTCTTGACCAGCCAAAGCTAGTAAAAGCAGCCAAGAATTGGTTGAACTGCAAACTACCAAACAGACCCTATATGAAAGATTTCAACTAGCAGTTGTAAAGAATCAAATCTATTTGACATTTGTTTCTTCCTCTAAAGTAGTACCAGTCTTTTTAAAGACCATGTATATTGTACGGAATAATAATTAAAATGCACCGATTTTACAATAAAATACTACAGGTTCCTGATGTTGAAGGCTCAAAGAAAGATCATTGCGAGCTAACTAGAACTCCTTACGGGAGGCATTTCATAAACGAGGTCAGAGTCAGATAGTGCTGTTATAAGTTATTTATGGAATACCATTCCTTTTATCTTTTAGTTGACATGTATTTAATCATTTTTTATTAGGAGATAAACTCATACCTTATGTATTTGTTTGAGATGATTGTTCGTCGGGGCCCTGAGGTAGGGCTGAATGTGTCATTGAATCGATATGATTTCTTTCATGGTCATCTCTTTCTTGCCACCAACTCTCAAAGGCTTGGTATTCTGTGAGTTGCAAGTCTTTCCTTTCTTATCAATGAACTTTCTTTTGAATTAAAGATCCGATCATGATACTGTTTGCTTGAGGATGCTGAAGAAATTGATAAATTACTTTTTATCAATTTTGTTATGATTTCTCTTTCATGTGAGCCTGTGGTTTGGGGGGGGGGGGGGTTCTTTTGGAAACAGCTTCCCTACAATTCCTCACTTGTGGGATTTCACTGAGTAGATTGCCATTATTGTTGTTGTATGATTTTTTTCTCTCCCTCCCTCCCCCTTCTCTCTCTCTCTCTCACACACACACACACGCACACACACAATTTGCCATCAGTTTTCTTGGTTGACTTTATTACTATGACAATCCCCAACAGAGATGTTTGGGGGGTCAAGATGTACATAACCGTGCCCTGTAAAAAACAGAGATGCTATTTCCAGTAGACCCTTGATGCACTGTTGCATTTACTTCTCAAAAGTTCATAAAAAGTAAGAAGCAAGGACAGTTTATTTGTCATTTTGATTGTTCTTTAGTTATCCAAAGCTAAACCATATGGAAGAAAGAAGATCACTCCCCACTTTCCATTGTTGCTCTGATGATTCATTGGCCACAAAAATTTGCAATCTTTATTACTCCGTATTATTTTCTCACCGAAGTCACTGATCAAGGATATTTAGAATAGACATTACATTTTATGTAGTACTTTATTTTTGACTTTGCACTGATAGTTGTGATGGAGAACGAAAGAAAAATCTAAAAATCTTGCTTCAAATAACTATTAAACTGAAAGTGCAATTCTGCATTTAATATTGTAGCAAAATAGACCGGTAGCTGCACTTGCTGCTTGAATAAGAAATAGGTATATATAAGTGATTTCTGCTGATAGCCTGATAGAGATTAGAGATTGGATTTGACATCTATTTTGTCCAGTTGCTTACTCTTTTTTCTTTATCATGAAATCATGCTACAAATAATGCAGGTTTCATGCTAAAGAGTACCCAGCATATGATAAGGAAGTATTTCCACTCAATATGGGTTACTGTCAAATGGGTAAACTTATTACTACCTTCACCTCCATAGACTTTCCAAGACTTGGCTTTTTAGTCAAACTTGTTAAATTATGATTGATGTTTTCAGCTGAAATTTTTCTGTGAAAGTCATAACTTTTTTACTTTTATGATACTCCCTCCGTCCGGTATTAATCTACCCATTTTGACTTTTTTCCATTTTTATTTAGAGTTGACAATGGGATAAAAATGTCCAAACTTCCCTTTCCTTTTGCCACTATTATCGCTGCCCTCACCAGCCCTCCGCCATTAGCTTCCACAATCTCTCTCCTGCCTCGCCGCCGCCAGCCCTCCTCTGCCCCCACCATCGCCAGGCTCCTCCACCATCTTCGGCCCCAAGCACCACCGTGCTCTAGCCCCACTGCCTTAATCCCCACCACAGGTGATCCCCCCCAATACATTAGATCTACAAAAATTGAGTACAATCCACCTTCTTTACCCACCCCGAGCACCATCTCCACAAGCCATACCATTGCATCAATCGCCGCCATCGCTAGTCCTACCCAACCGCTGCCGCCACCGTCATCGCCATATCACGAATAGATCTGTCCAAATCTGGAAGACAAACAAATGGGAGAAAGAAGGAAGAGGAGGTGGAGGAGGATGAGTGGAACTGAAGAAAGAATAGGAAGGAGAGAAGGAGACACACGAGGAGGAGTGAAAAGAGAGACGGAAAGATAATGGGGGGGAAGAAGGAGAAGAGAAATGGGAGAAATAGAAGAACAGAGAGAGGCAAAGAAATGAGGGAGGAGAGAGAGAGAGAGGACAATATGAGTGAAGAGTGATAGATGAGTGGGGGTATTTTGGGTAGTTTGTGTATAAAAAATTGAAATGGGAAGATTTTTTTCGGACATAGAAAAAGGGGAAACGAGAAGATTATTTCTGGACGGAGGGAGTAGTATTTTTAATACTCCGTATTGTAAACCATTTTAAATATAATATAGTAGCGGTCACTGGTCTACGTGTAATAGGTTTGACTAGAAAATTTGAATGTGGAAAACTTCATCACGACAATGGGAGTAATATCTTTGTGATTTTCTTGATGTTATCAACATTTTTTAAAACCTTTTATGCTCGTTTTTTTTCTGTATGTGTTTGCAAATCCAGGATATATGCAGCTATGTAGTAATTTTTAACAAAATTTTATCAGGGTCTAATGTGGCATATGATGATTCAATGAATTTACGGAACATATTGTGGCTTGCTCCTTTACCAAGTGAATCCATTAACAAATGGCTGGCACCAGGTATCACATCCATCAGGGAAAAAACATCTTGTTCTGAATTTATTGACGATTGGTGAAATTTATTGACGTTCATCTATTCTGAATTTATATGTAGTGTCATATGAGTCGATTTACAGTATGGACTTTCTAATGCATGTATATTCTCGATTTTGATATAAGAATATCTTATCCTAAATCTCATAGGAGTCCTTGTAGTCCTAGATGCACATCCAGATGGTATCATATATCGGGACCTAATACCAGACTATGTCAGTTTTGTGAGAACCCTTTATGAAGGTTTGCCCATCACCCGTAAATTATCCCTTCATTTCACCTCATTGGCAAAGCTTTGATCATAAGACAGGACTAACATGGGGATTTTAACTGCCCATCAGATGATTTTGGACAGACTGCGGTTGATGTTAACTACTTAAATGTAGGAAATGATGCTCCCGAGTTCCAGCTTTTCATCTGCTGACTGATCAAGTAAGTACTCTTTATAGCCCCCTTAGGGGTGTAAATGGATGTTAAACGGATCAAATGTGGCATTACCATATCAACATTGGTATGTGGCATTACAATATTTGCATTCATTTAATTTTATCGGATGTCAAGTTCGGATACAAATCTTGATGGATTCTTAAAATTAGTTCCGTATCCGCATCCATCAGATATCATATTTCATATATATCCACATCAAGTTTTCATTTTTGAAAGTCAAATTGAACCACAGAGTGTATAAATATTTTAATATCACGATTCAATTGTAAGTTGATCATATTTTTTCTATTTTTGTAATATTTTCTTTTTGTGGAAAGGTTAATTTCCTTGATTGAATAATGTGGAGAATACAAGTATATATACAAGGGGGTCTCAATCCTAATTAAGGTAGGAGAGACATAATAGAAAATCTATACAAGTATGGTAACTATAATAATACAATAATATTAAATATATTTTATATATTTAACACTTTTCTCTATAAACTTTGTATGTTTAATAGAAATTACACACTACACACGTATTTGTATTTTGTATGTGACTATGTGTCTACATGTACTCCCTCCATTCGTCCAGTTTAACTTTTTTGAAGAACTCTGGACATTATTACTCTTTATTTGTATTGCATATCAACAAAATAAAGTAAAATTTCGAAAGTTCTCAACAAGATAAATCTAATGAAATTGTTTTTATATTTTAATATACATTACAATTTTTATTTAATTGAGGTCCACAATTTGTTCAGTTTGACTTGAATGGAGAGATAATAAGATATATGAAAGGTGAAAGTTGTGAGTAATATAAAGTTTATTTGGACTAAGGATTAGCTGAATTACTAAACAAGGGAGAAAGAATTTTAATTAAGGAGCACTCCAATTGATTTAAGCAATTTAAATTTAAACAATTGTTCTAAGTGAATGGTTCAATAAAACACTAAAAATTAAAAAATGTGGCCTACTTTTGTTAAAAATTTAATTGAAATTTTCAAAATTTTGGGTCAAGAAGAGGATTAACAAGATAATGTAAACCATGCAAACATATTGAATATAACAAGTAAAAACAATTCCCCTCCCATTTTTTTCTCTTTTTTTCTTAAATAGTTTTCTTTTTTCAAAATTTATTCCCCAAAAGATTTGTACTTTAGGCACTTCCTCAAATGATCACAAAGATATGTATGATGTTTATGCAAATTTGAACTCTTGAAAATAAACAAAATAAATGCAGAAAGCATTCCCCACACATACTTCATGCATTGCCCTAAATGTGTGCAGAAGTTAATAAATTAAAGCATAATGACAATTGACAAACATGCAATACATATCATGAGAAACAAAATGCCAATAGATATAGAACAAGGGGAGTGGGGATAATAAGAGAATAAATTTAGAAATGTGAAAATAAATCGTAGTAACTTTCTAGAAAAATGTTGAGCCCCTTTGGTGCAACTCTAGAGTTCATTTCTTTCTTCAACCTAAAATTTTTTCGGGTTTCTACAATCTCATAAGCAATAGGATTATGCAACTTTTTATTGAATTCCTGAAAAAGAATCAAACAGTTATTAAACAATAAAAAAAACTAGAAATAAGAACATAAAAAATAGGGTAAATCATAATTGGTGTGCCTCCCAATAAGCATTTTTGTTTAGTGTTGTTTGCTCGGTGCAATCACTAGGAATCAACAAGTGCATTTAGGTTCAAGCAAGTCTTTTGATTCTGCAAGATAAGCTTAAAAACCTTAATACTACGGCTTCAAGCGGTGTCCATTGACTTTGATGATCTTGGAAGTCTTAGGATCCATGATTTCAATAGCCCCATGAGGATAGATCATCACCTCCTCGAAAGGCCCAGTCCGATGAGAGCGAAGGTTACCAGAAAACAATTTCAACCTTGAATAGAACAATAACACCTTTTGGCCTTCGTAAAATGATTTCCTGCTTATCATGTTGTCATGCCATTTCTTGATTTTCTCTTTATAGATAGTAGCATTTTCATAGAAATCATTCCTAATTTTTTACAATTCTTGTAACTGTAACTTCCTATGATCTCTTGCTTCATCAATATTGAAATTGCATTGTTTAACATTCCAACATATTATGTGTTGGAGTTCTACTGGTAAGTGGCAAGCCTATACACAATTCTGAGCGGAGACATTCTAAAAGGTGTCTTATTTATACGCCCATAGTGAGTTAGGTAGCCTCAAAGTCCAATCTTTCCTCGAAAGATTTACTGTTTCTCCAAAACCTGCTTTATTTCCCTTTTAGAAACCTCTACTTGACCATTAGTTTGAGGATGGTAGGCAGTGGATATCTTATGCGTGACTACATATTTTCTCACTAGAGCTCCTACCATTTTGTTGTGGAAATGTGTCCTTTGTCACTAATTAGAGCTCTCGGGATGCCAAACTTGCAAAAAATATTATTTTGTACAAAATCTACAACAATCTAGACATCAAATATTTCGACAATGATAATAGGATATAGAGGCATTTGATCTCTTCTAGATAAATTTACCTTTCTCTGTCATCTATAACAGGATTTGCAAAACAAATATGCATCCTTAAAAATTGTTGGCCAGTAAAATTTACATTTTACAATTTTCCTAGCAATTCTTTGGGGTCCGGAACGATCACCACATGCTTGAGAATGACAAAATTCTAAAATAGATGCTTGTTCATTTGGTGGAATGCATCTCCTAAAAATTTGATCAGAGCATAAATGCCAGGAATAAGGTTCATCCCAAATATAATATTTTGCATTACTTTTTAGTTGCTTTTTTGGTACTTGCTCAAATCAACAAGTAATTGCCTAGAAACTAGATAATTAACTAAGAGCATCTCCAACCCATCCTCTATTTTTTGGTCATTCAAATCTTATTTTAGCCTCTCAAAAGTGTTTTAACAACTCACTTTTTTACCACCACTCCAACCATATTCTCTATATAAAAATAAAAGTAGAGTTACAGTGTAATCGCTGGCGGAGGAGGATTTGGCGGATATGTTCAGAGGTTGAAGACGCCGGTTAAAGGTCTGGCAGAGGGAGCATCGGTGCCAGGGCCGAAGGAGGAGATGTGGTTGAAGACACCAGATTATGTGTATACATGGTTGATTTTTACGAAGACTAAAGGAGCAGAGGGGGGAAACTCTAGAAATAAAGGATCTACAGTATCCTTCGAATATAGAGGCTGGGGCAGTGAAAATAGAAGCCCCTCTATATTTTGGCTTGCCTTTTGGAGCACATTTTTGCTATTTTTCATTTCAAATCCTTCAAACTATAGCATATAGCATCTCCTTTGGAGATGTTCTAAGTTGGCATACCAAAAGAATTTTGAACCAACCACGAGTAAACTTTGACGAGGAAAGAGATCACTAATGGAGTATTATCATCTTCAACCTGTAGGTGACTCGAATGATTTGCAACTAAATTTTCAGCACCCTTTTTATCCTTGATCTCCAAGTTAAATACTTGCAAGATAGGAACCCAATGGATCAAGTGAGGCTTAACTTCCTTTTTTTCCCAATAAATAATGCAAGCTGCATGATTAGAATAAACAATAACCTTAGTACCTAACAAATAACAACGTAATCTATCTAAAGCAAAAACAACAGCCAAAAGCTCCTTTTCTGTGGTTGTGTAGTTTTGCCGTGTAGGATTCAATGTGAGAGGCATAATATATAACATATAGCCTCTTCGCATTGCCCCCACTGCAATGTTATGCGTCATGTAGTCCTCTTGATCAGGTTTAAATATGGAATGTTAACTATTTTGATATTTCTGTCCTACTAATCATTTGTGTTTTGTTACCTTTTACTGATCAGATACGTCCTTCTGTGGCATTTCAACTTAATTGATTTCTTGACCTCAACCCCAGAACATTTAGTTGGAATTTTTTGTATTATAATCACTCGTTCCTCTATTTCCTTTTTGTTTGTAAGCTCGATGAAGGAATGCAAGCCTGATTGTGAACGCAATGAAGAAGGGAATATCAAATTCATGAATTTCGATGTGTTCTGCATTCCTTTTGATCAGGTGTGTGTCTGGAATGTTAACTATATCTTCTCGTCCGAGTAATTATTTGTGGTTATTCTATTTATTCATCATCTTTTATTGCAACTTCATCTTAGTTTTCTCTAAGTTTTCTCTAGTTTGTAATTATCGATGTTCCTCAATGTGCAAGCATACAACATCATAGTCTGGCCACGACTATAAAAACACGAGGATATCTCGACCGCTCTGTTTCAGAAGAAGGTACACTAGAAGAAGAAGACATTGCTGAAGAGTTGCTAACTCACGCCCAACCTGAATATGTCAATATATCGAAACGGCTTGCTGGGAAATACAGGTACCATGGGAGTGTTTTTGGGACGGAGGGCGGAAAACGGCTTGCTATTTGTGCTAAATCAAATCGGGAGCCTTTTTTTAGGACGGAGGGAATATAATTTACTAGACTAGTTCTTGATGCATGTAAAATGTGAGTCCTTTAAAGACTTACTTGATCCGTGCACGTATCTAATTATTTAGTTCAGTTGGACAAATCTATATTGTTTAATTTCTTTCTAAGTTATTATTAATTTCTCTTTTAACATATTTTATTTCTAATTGTATTTCATATTTTAAAATAAAAATATATACACACGCAAGATAATTTATTTTATATAATCTAATTTGTATTAAAATAAATAGACGGATTCATCAGTAATGTTTCGACTTTTTTAGAAAAATCTAATGTTTCCAAATAATTATTGAATGTTGGAAAATGCTTCGTAGTCAAAAATCAAAATGATACATTGAACCAAAAAAGGTTCTTCTCTAAACAAAACAAAAAGTTAAAAGAAAAACCATTTTGCCTCACGAAAAAAACGCCTTTGCAAAAAAAAGGAGCATTATAAAAAAGTTAAAAGGTAAAAAAAATCTATATTACCTAAATAAAGACCTCATACAAAAAACAGAATTTTAAAGAAAAATAAAAACAAGGGTGCATTAAATGAAAAAATGAAGAGAATCTTATGTGGCATTTTTAGCCTATAGATTTTTTTTCTCTCAAGAAGCATATTATTCCCCTTTTAAGCCACACCTTCCTTATTTTCCCCTACCCTCTCTAATCATTCACTCCTTGCCACCTTAGACAATTCCCCTCACATACTCCCCTATTAGAGATGTCCTTACAATATGTAATACACGAAGCCGCAACAAATACTTGTTCATAACTAAGTACCAATTCTTTCGAGTAACGACCCATCATGCGTTAAAAATTACTTTCAACTTTTGTTAATAGTTATTGTATGTGATGTTATAATTGGTAATTATTTTCGTTGAAATTTAAAGGGAACTTTTGTATCCGACGACATAATTAGCAACGCCTGTGGGATAACAACTTTAAAACATGCATTTTTTCCTTTCATGTTTGTCCTTGAAAAAGATGACTCCCTAATCGAGTTATAATCAACCTTGTTCCATTGCACAAATACATTGATTGGTCAATGTTTTTTAAATAACATTATAGGTGGTCCAACCTTCAATTCGATTATTATGATTTGGCACCGTCGATGCTCATATGTTCAAAGAGTTTGGAAAATGTAGGTCGGATAAGAAATCTGCATTTGAATCAGACTTGCAAACACTATAAGAGCTAGTAAATTTTTGTTGCTCCAATAATATTGATGCATGTCATGTAGTCACTTAAAGACAATTTCCATTTCATTTTTACGTGCAAATCCTCATCTTTTTTTAGAGAATGTATGTATGACAAAAGCGACTCGAGCTGAGGGGTTACCCAAAATATTAAAAACCAGATCTTACCCAAGACCCAAAATAATTATATCGATGTTGAGTCAAAATTCTACTCTCTGTCGAAATTCTTATCTTAGTTTGACTTTACATAGTTTTAGAAAAGTGTTGAAACTAAAAATAAGTGATTGAAATTTATTTAGAAGAAAAAAAATTATAGATCACCTATTCTTTACCTTAAGCGAGATAATTTTTTTTGGAACATACTATAAAAGAACACGATTAGTTCGTGACAGTGGGAGTAATTGGACTGATTATAAATTAATTTGGGGATCGGAAATCTAATTGGCCTGATTCTCAATCAAAGCAATGTCACTCAAATTCAAAAAAAAATCAAACTAAATCTTAATTGACCTAGTTTAAACTTGAAAAGAACAAATTGAATCTCTCATGAAACCAATTACAAACCAAATTGATGTAATCCAAATAAATGAGCAACGAAAATGAGTACTAAAAAAAATATACTTCGTAGTTAAAGCTTGACCGTGTAAAAATGAACATAAACATAAATTGGGATAGAGAGAGTACAGAGGAAGGATAAACCATCACGTTTTCCCGCCCAAATGTTGTGTGCCCATGACGTTGAAAATGGTAGCATAATGTATTTTTTTGAAGATCTTATGTTAATTATAAAACATAAATAAAAATATGATCTTCCTTTTATATGGAGTAATAATTTTATTTTGAGATAGAGAGAATAATACTACAAAGATACTTCCATGCACACCATACAGAGAGACTACGACCGGATTCTTTTCCAATTTTCTCCAAACACATTCGTTCAAGGCTTCCAAACTCATTCAGTTCCTTTCGGATTTCAGAATCCAACCCATCCCAACATTGTTTTGCTCCCCAAACAGGGCATAAATTTTGTATCAAATGAAATGAGAGCACTAAAATGAAACCAATATAATACCTTGATGGGAGTATAAGGTTTTCAAAAAGAGTACAGCCCTTCAAGGAATTAAAATTACATGTTCTTAATAGAAATACTCTAGTGATAGACTATGACACAAAACCATCTAACCAAGACAATGTATTGGCAGCTTCAGTCATCGTGGTCGCGAAAGCGTATAATTTTCCTGATGAAAGGCCTCTCTTTTTTGTAGCTGATCATAAGAATTTGGCACTTGTTAGAATTAATTAGAATGCCACATCGTGTGTGTGTGTGTGTGTGGCTGTTTCAAGACACGAACAGAACAACGGCTTAGGGTGTGTTTGGCTCAGGGGGGAAAGATGAAAGGTGAAGGAAAGGGTGGATTTAGAGTTACATTGTTTTGTTTGCTGAAAAAGGATGAAGTGAAGGGAGAGATTATCAAAATTAAGTGTTTGTGTGTACACAAATCTCACCCTTACTACGTAGTAGAGGTGGATCACACGCCCTCCCCATAAAAATTGAACCGAATGGTAGGGAGCATTTTCTCTTCCCTCTCTCTAATCCCTTTCAACCAATCACACCCATAAAGATTTACTACAACAACAATCCAGTAAAGTCCCACAAGTGGGTTTTTTAAGGAGGTCGAGTGTATGCAGGCCCTTACCCCTACCTAAAAGGGCAGAGAGGTTGTTCCCCAACGATCCTTGGCTCAAGAAACCACGAAAACATGAAAAATGGAGGAAATTGAACATGAAGAGACTCACATTACGAAAGCAGCAACAAGAAAACAGACCAAACCAAAGGAGAAGTGAACGGCAAAGGTGGCCCAGAAGTTCTCAGGGTTGAGATATATCCTTTCAAGGATAAAGGTGGCTACTCCCGAAGCCAACACAAATTCATAACCTCCAGGAATGCAAGCTCTAAAGGAGAAGGATGAAGATTCCTGCGGAGATTTTTCAAAATCTCAAGAGAAATAATCAAATTCTTATTAAGTTGGCATATTAATATGAGAGGTACCATACCTTGAAAAACTTTTTGATGAAAACCGCCGAGTAAACTATCCTGAAGATCATATCTATTATAGTCAAAGAATCAAAGACTGCATAGTATTTCAGATATAAATAACCTCAACAGAAAACAGACTGCATAGGATCCGAATTATGAGCGGGAGAGATTGTTAGTCACAAGATCTAGAAAAATTGCAAAAGGATACTCAAAGAATTTGCTAAAACCAACCCAATTGCACCCGCTGATCTTATAAGTGAGACGTTCATGACCAAGTAAATCAATGAGAAAACGAGCAATGAATCATTTGACCGTTTAAGTTCTGTCTCTGATGCAACTGCATGTAGAAATGCTTCAGATGTCCCTGACATAAAGAACAGTACGTTAATTGTTGGGAAAGCTTCGCTCAGGTTTACTTCTTGTTAAATTCAGTTTTAAATTTGTTAAGTTTGTTATTTCTGTTAGTGACGTGGCTTTCTTTCCTCTCTTGTATAAACTGTGTGTGGTTTTAATTCCAAGATAAGTTTTTCTCTCTGCAAATTCTATCATCAATAAAGAATGATTTTCTTCTTTTCCTTCATTCCTCATGATTCTTCATCGCCATTTCTGTATCAAATTGTTCAAGGAATTCATCATATCTAAGAATTCCAACATGGTATCAGAGCAGAATTAAGATCGATTCTGCGTCCACTCATCATCTTTGAGGAATCCTTCAACTCATTTGATTTCATCTTCAATGGCGGAAGAAAATTCTGGAAGAATTCATCCTTCTGATCCTCTGTATCTCCATCCATCTGATCATCCAGGTTTAATCCTGATTTCGACTAAGTTTGNAGGTGAAGGTTTTGGATCTTGGCAGAAATCCATTAAAATTGCCTTATCTGCCAAGAACAAACTCGATTTTGTCTATGGAAGGATTGAGAAACCTCATAATGATCCTGCGAGACTCAGTGCCTGGCAACGATGTAATGATATGGTGACTTCATGGATTTTGAATGTCCTAAGCAAGGGAATTGGTGACAGTGTTCTATACGCAGACACAGTTGTGGATCTCTGGAACGAGCTTGAAGATCGATTTGGACAATCAAATGGAACTCGTCTGTATCAGCTTCAGAAGAATGTTTGTTCAATTGCACAAGGGAATTCAGACATAGCTTCCTATTATACTAAATTGAAGTTCTGTTGGGATGAATTAGGAATGGTGTCCAATCTGCCAAGATGCACATGTGGAGCAGCTCAAGCTATGGTCAAACATGAACAAGATCAGAAACTAATCCAATTTCTGATGGGCCTAAATTCAGAATACAACACTATCAGGGGAAATATCATGGTTATGAGGCCTCTCCCATCTGTTGCAGTTGCATATGGGATGCTAATTCAGGAGGAAAAACAGAGGGAAATTCAAGTTGCATCACCTTTAATGCCTGAACATACATCAATGAATGTGAGTACATCCTCATATCAGAAAGGAAGAAATGAAGAAAGAAAACAGAATGGAGTGGTAGAAAGAAAACACAAGCACCTTCTAGAAACCTCACGAGCTTTGTGTATCCAATCCCAATTACCACTTAAATTCTGGGGAGAGTGTGTTTTGACTGCGACTTATCTCATTAACAGATTCCCCAGCAAAATTCTGAAAGGAAAATCTCCTTATGAGATCCTTTTTGGAAAGAAACCCAGTTATGATCATTTGAGGGTGTTTGGCTGTTTATGTTTTGTTTCTACCCAAAAACAAGGAAGGCACAAATTTGAGGAAAGAGCTTCGTCTTGTGTATTTTTAGGATACACATATGGAAAGAAGGCTTATAAAGTGTATAACCTCAAGACACACAAGGTTGAGGATTCAAGAGATGTGATCTTCCATGAAAATGTCTTTCCATTTCACAAACAAAACCCTCCAGAACCCTTATTCCCATATAATCATTCTGATTTTGTTGATGAGGATTACTGTCCAACTGTGTCCTCACACCCCAATCTTCACCCAACTTCCACAATCCTACCTCAGTCTACATCAACAGAAAGCCCTCTTTCACATTCTATCCAACCTTCTGTTTCAAGGAAATCCACCAGATCCCATCAAACTCCTGCCTATCTCCAGGATTATGTTTGTCATTCCTTCCTCAATCACACCTCTGATCCTTCTGTTTTCTCCTCTGACCCTTCCTGTCCTCACACCATTACCTCTATCACTCCTTCCTCACACATATGTTTAGGGGCTCTAACTCAACATAGTCAGCATTTTTTGCACAATGTTTCTAATATGCAGGAACCAAGAAATTATGAAGAAGCAAAGTCAGATCCAGCATGGCAACAAGCTATGGCACTTGAATTTCAAGCACTGGAGACAACAGGTACTTGGGAATTCTGTGAATTACCAAAAGGGAAGAAGCCTATTAGTAGTAAATGGGTTTATAAACTTAAGTTCAAATCTGATGGGTCTCTTGAAAGACACAAAGCAAGACTGGTAATTCGAGGCTGCACTCAAAAGGCAGGCATAGACTTCCATGAAACTTTCTCACCTGTTGTTAAAATGACTACAGTCAGGGCTTTATTGGCTNGATGTAAACAATGCTTTCTTACATGGAGATTTACATGAGGACATATACATGAAACCTCCTTTGGGCATGACTGTTCCTTCTCCTAATCTGGTACTCAAACTTCGAAAGTCCTTATATGGTCTAAAACAAGCATCAAGACAATGGTATGCAAAGCTGAGTACAACCTTAAGATCCAGAGGGTACTATTATTCCAAGAATGACTATTCTCTCTTCACAAAGAAAATAGGTTCTTCTGTCATTCACCTTGCAGTTTATGTTGATGACATCATCATCACTGGAAATGATGTCACTGAGATCACAGCTTTAAAGACTTTCTTGAATGATGTTTTCAAAATCAAGGATTTGGGAACACTGGGTTATTTTTTAGGCTTGGAAGCTGTTTATGAAGGCCACAATCTGATCCTCACTCAGCAAAAGTTCACCTTGGACTTACTGTAGACTTTCAATTGTCCTTCTTCCTCTCGTGCCATTTGTCCTTTGGCACCTAATCTCCAGCTTCAAATCAATACTGGACCTCCACTTCAAAATCCCACTCTCTATAGATGTCTTGTGGGCAAGCTTAATTTCTTAACTCACACCAGACCTGACATTGCATATGCAGTTCAGTTTATAAGCCAGTTCATGCAAGATCCTCGCCTTCCTCATTGGGAAGCTGCTCAACACACTTTGAGATATTTGAATTCTACACCTTCTCAAGGACTTCTGTTTACTGCCTCTTCTGATTTCAAGTTACAAGCCTATTGTGATTCAGACTGGGCAGCTTGTCCCAATACACGACGCTCTGTGAGTGGTTATTTCATTCTTTTAGGTGGTACTCCTATCTCATGGAAATCTAAGAAACAAGCCACTGTTTCCCTCAGTTCAGCTGAAGCTGAATATCGTTCCATTCGCAGAGTTACTGCTGAATTAGCTTGGCTTTCTCATCTCTTCTCTGATTTGGGTGTTCCAGACATTACCCCTATTCCAGTTCGTTGTGATAGCAAGGCAGCCATTTATATTGCTACTAATCCTGTGTATCATGAACGTACTAAACACATCGAGTTGGATTGTCATTTTGTACGAGAAAAATTACAGAATGGCCTCATTACACTTCATCATGTTCCCAGCTCTGCCCAAATTGCTAATCTCTTCACTAAGAGTCTTCCCAGTGCTGTGCATAATCATCTTGTTTCCAAGTTGGGGGTTCAAGCTCCCTCCAACTTGAGGGGGGGTGTTGGGAAAGCTTCGCTCAGTTTTACTTCTTGTTAAATTCAGTTTTAAATTTGTTAAGTTTGTTATTTCTGTTAGTGACGTGGCTTTCTTTCCTCTCTTGTATAAATACTGTGTGTGGTTTTAATTCCAAGATAAGTTTTTCTCTCTGCAAATTCTATCATCAATAAAGAATGATTTTCTTCTTTTCCTTCATTCCTCATGATTCTTCATCGCCATTTCTGTATCAAATTGTTCAAGGAATTCATCATATCTAAGAATTCCAACATTAATTCCATATAGTAATTCTCCTCCAACAAACTGCTAAACCTATATTTGTTGGAGTCAAAAAATAATACTCCCTCCGTCCTAAAACTATCTTCCCAAATACTATTCACACGGTCAAACTTAAATCACTTTCTTTACCTATTTTCGTTAGTTATTTGATAAAATAATATAGTCTTGTCACATCTTGTTTTGTAGAACTTTTGATGTAGTTTTCAAATATATAAATTTTATTTTTTTTAATTTTACGCCTACAATCAAATAAATTGAATTGAAAATAAAGTCGGTCAAACCTCGTAAACACAAACAGGAAGATAGTTTTAGGACGGAGGGAGTACATTGCACCACAAAAGTCAGCAAGACATGAACCAACTTCAGTATAACTGAACTGAGAGAATTGGTGGAAAAAAAGATAAGAAGAATGCAAATAAAAAGACGTTCAAGATAATATACCATTCATGGCCAAAACTATCACGTAGAGACAATAATATTGGAGTGCTGTCGAAGCTTCTCCATCACTCCATTTTCTACCATAGAGTAATCTGATGAGGGAATATGAATAGCTTGGACCGAATGCAATAACAACCAGACCTACCAAATAAAAGAATTGCAAGTTTTTATTTATTACAAAAACAAAAAGTGATACACACCCAGCCAGATAACCATAGCATTATACTACAAATACAAGTCACATTGAAAGAACTAGAAAATGGTATGTTTGAAGTAACTGCAAGATATTTTATACCAATTAGCAAAACAAGCTTCAGGGCATCCGTCAGATTCCTCCCCAGAATCTTCTTGTTCCCTTTTTGATCTCCTGCGTGTACACAATTTTGTTGTGAGGAATGAATATGATTTAATTCTATGTTGAGGAAAACTGCTGCAGCTAGCCAAAGTTGGCCTTGCATGAGTTTCCAATCGAGACCTAATGTTCTTTTACTCACATGAACATATCTGGAAGGGTCAGTTTTCATTTCCGCACTCATTTATAGGCTTGTAGCTTAAAATAATAAAGTTTGGACTGGTGCTAAATCCACGCCTCATTTTGCTGAATACACTCCATTTATAAGAAATTGACAATTTTACCTTTCACTTATTTCTTTCCCTTTTATAAACACTGAGGGTAAACTTGTCAATTTTATATAAAAAGTGGTGGATATAGCTAAATGAGGAGTGGATTTAGCAACAACCTAAATTTTATTGTTATCTAATAAATGATTTGATATAATGTCCCAAAGAATCGATTTAAACCTGATGCAGAGCTTGCAAATGTTGCATATGAGCTTTCTTCAAATGGAAGAAAAATCAGCCTCACCACTAGGCTCCCTGAGAAAACAATTTGTTATTTCTGAGAACAAAGATCATATAAGGCAAGAGATTCAAAGTACATCTCAAATATGCATTCAAAATCAGTATCAGACCCCTGCAAGGAAATGGGCCAAGAGTGACACACCTAGTTTATCTACAAGTCCATATACTGCTTGGTTATACGGTGTATCCAGCCATACAAGGATCATCTTTTCACCTTCCTGAAGAATCAACTTCTGAAAGGATTGAAGATTAAATATCATGCACATGTTTGCGAGTGGTCTGTCATAACTTATGGTATTTCCTATCCTGCAACAACATTATCAGTTTATGGTGAAAACTAAAAGAAATGATCTCTTTTGCATTTGAAGAACCATTTAGCTCAAATTGGGAAACAAACAAATACTAGTAACAAAAACTGAAAACTACACTAATCATATACGAGTATTACAAATAACATTAGAGAAAATATGCATATCGTATGATATGAGTACTTAAGGATTATTACTTCATCTTCCAATCCCTTTTGCAATCCATTATACATATCTAACAAGGAAAAACTATAAAAGGGGGGGGGGTACAAGAAGAAAATTCTGGACATTTATAACTCATAAGCACATGGTCCAAGCAGCACTAAGATCATTAGTTCTATTGGAAACCAGCAGTAGTACTATTTATTATCATCATCATTACACGGTATGAGTTGTTGTGTCCCAGCCATTCCTGTGTTTCAGTGTTTCACATTTTAGTAAAATGCCATTTCCCGTAAGCATACCCATGCCCGTGCTCATGTCTCGGTGCTTCATCAGGTTGAAAGAATTAGTAAACTCCCCTGACTTTCTTGTTATCTAAAAGGAGTCATTCACTAAATCATAACCCTTACTCTTACACAGAATAAAGTTAAATGCAGTTTAATGATGGTGAAAAAGGCACACGCTGAAAAAATATATGTATGAGTTTCAAGGCATCAGAAGAATTCGTGAGACAACTCTCTGCAGATAAAATATGACAAATGAGCCAGTCCATTATAATCTCCAATACATTTTTTGTTTTATAAACAAATGTACAGATCAAGATAGACAAAAAACTAATCACTACCTGAACGGAAACAGAACATAAGATGTATATACTTGGCACAGAAGAAAGTAACCCCAGTAACCTAAGAAAATTGAAGCTCCATATGCAACTTGTGACAGGGAAAATACAATTGCTTTCTCCTGCAATTCATATAATTGTTGACTTATCAGTAATAAGCAGGCGAGCTTAAACTGACTTTGAGATGATACAAAATAGGGAAATTGAGCACAATAATGGTAAACTGATACAGGAATATACATTTACAAGGTATTAGACGGGTAAAAGGAGGCCGGCCAAATACAAGTGTGGTAACTGAAATATTCTCGGAATCAAGATAAGAACACATCATCATTTTATGAGGTACTTAAAAGTTGCATTGAAGTATTTTTGTAGTGAGAAAGAAGCAGAAAACTGTGAAGTGAGTCTAAATTCCTAGTTTACAAAATAAAGTAAGGTGGCACTCTTTAGCATGTTTAGGCATCACACAAAAATTACACGAAGGAAAGAAAGAAGTAGCTGAAGACAATGGTTCTTGGGGTTGGAGACGAAATTGAATTAGTTTTGACATGATAAAGTTTAGCTTGAAGCCTTTGAAATATGGGTGTGGTTAATCACAGCCCTTAGATCTACATTTAAGTTTTAATGAGATAAGAGTGTGCATGATAATTCTCAAGAACTAACTAAACTTAAAGGGTACTCTATTTACGTTTAGTCATCCCAACTCCCAAGAACAAAAAATCATCAAATATCTCCTTAATCATTAATAAATTGATTACTTTCGAAAACTACATGTAATATCATCAGTTGCCTAGAAAAATTAATGTCTTCTAGTTGAAAACTTAAACATTATTCATTCTTCTTTCCTAATTACCCGGAGGTGTTGAGTTTTAATATGTGGTGGCACGCTTGCCATTTGATAAAGCGTGCCAGCTTGTGATATTTTGCACATTGTTGATGTTTTCTAGGTTAACCTCTATGCATTGACAAAATTAACTTCATGCTTTTCTTTTCCATCTGTGCCAAAATAATCTTCAGTTCTTCACATTTCTCCCATTTCCTATTAAGGAGTATGTGACTCTCGTGATATTTCTCTCTTCTAAAGAAATGTAAACCATACACTTTTCGGTCTTCAAACTTTTTATAAACTTTGTGAAGCTAAACTCTGAAGTTCCTTTAATGGAGAGGGGAAGTATAGTTTGTGGAAGTGTGTCCATAAGAAATATGTGATAATCGTCAACCCACTTTGAATCAGAATTATTATTATACCCTAACTTCTTCAATTCTTGAGATTACATGTTACGGGTTTACAGCTAAATAAAAAATTGGGAGTTCAATATGAAGTACAGTTATGCTCCGTAGAAGACCGTAAAGACTCCTTTGGAGGAAAGCATACGGCTTTAGTCTAACCTTTTTTTCCATGTGTGAAGTGCTAATGGACCATAAAGACACCTCGGAGATACATACAACGCATCAAACAAAACTACTTACCAAGCTTGGTTGCTTCACGATGAGTATATATGTTACTATACAGCGTGAAAAAGTGGCAGCAGTTTCAACAACCAGCCGCAACTTGAGAAGAGTCAAGTTCTGGGCCAAAATATAAAATGGTTCTGCCAGGAGCTCGAGTATACATGCAAAACCTGCATATGATATTACAGATTAAACCACAAGTCCCAATTACCTAATAAATAGTTGGATGAAAACTTTAATATGTGCCAATTAACCATTCTTTTTCGCAGGCAGAATATATGATCAGAAGGTATGACCGGTGCATAAAGTTTTGCATTTGCTTAATATATTATTTATCTCAAATATGAATAGAAGCTACATTGAGAGCTAGAGTCATGCATGCCAACCCATAATGACACATCCACTCCCCACAAATAATTATTAACAAGTGCTTATGCTTATACTAACAACCATCTGACAATAATCCAACACAAACAGATGATACATGTATAAAATATAACCACACAGTAAAATAGTAACAAAAATAGAAGCAGAAGATGCTAAAATATACATTATTTGGCCTCTCTAATGCTGTTATATACTTATATGTTGAGTGGTCACTCTCACAATCTATTTATCCTCTTTCCAAAAGTGCCTTCTGTATTCACAGTTATCCCACTCTCACTTGGTCCAATTCCAACAATCCACATCCTTAAAGTCCTAGCTTTTTGTTGCAATGCTCTTAGATAACTAGCCTCGTGAATCATGTGTTGTTGTTGTTGTTAGCTTACCATTAATCAAGATGGCTCGTGCATAAGGACTAGAATAACCTAGACCTTGCCACCAGAGTACAAACACACAAGCAGCAACTGTGACCAGTACCCCTAATGGGAAAGTCATCCATGCGATTTTCAAAAGCTTAGCTGCATTTGCTCCTGTTTCTGAAGCATCGTCACTGCTAATTCAAATTTTCAGAGTACATTCAGAAAACGGCAAAAAGACGAAGAATCTATGTGTGTTTTTCTTTAAAATAATTAAATCATCATTGTCACTGTAGTCCAAACTGCGCTGGGGTTGGTGGCATGAAATTTATAATGTCAACCCATTGTTAGAAACTGTTTAACACTGTAAATTCATGCTAGAAGCATAGTGTCAAAGTCTTAAGTTTCATGCCCTTCCTAACCCAACCTTCTAAAAAAGGGAATAATGAGATGAATATTTGAAACCATCATCATCATAATTTTTCCATTTACATGGGAAATATCATGAGACAGTGATGAATTGAGATAGTTGATATAGACATATAGTCATATCTCATTGCAAAATATAGGTTAAAATCTCAACATGTACATCGTGGAACATGACTTTACCCATCAGAGCACTACGCAAACATAACCTATGTCTGTGGTTATGCACTCTATGTCATCGACATGACACTATGACCTTCAGGATACTATGACCAAGTTTCACTACAATCACATCATCCCATACTAACTACTTTAAAAAAGCAAGTAAATTTGTAATACTGCTGGCAAACAACTGAAGCAAGTGCCTGATAAAACTCCAAAAGAATAAAAAGGATCAAGCAAATATACATAATGAAGGCAATAACAACAACAATGAACACAAGAAAAATACCGTCTGATATTTACCCTCATGCATGCTCGCCGGAAGCCCTCTCTACTCAGAAACAAAATGCAGGTCACAAACAGATGGAACTGTACGGCATAAACCTGAATTGTGCCAAGAAATATGAGTTTTAGATGGTGCTCAAAGAAAAAAAGGACATTCAGCGTGAACAGAAAAGTAATAACTAGTCTTATATGGTGTGAGCGAAATAAGAGTTTCAGCCTTCCATTATAACATTTCACAATCAAGTGCTAAAAGACATACCACCATTACATGAATGCTCAAGATACAATTTTTTTATTGTAACTTGCAACGGATCTACATATCCTCTTTGCTTTGAATCCGCATTTACCCAGATAATCAAATTCAATTGATTCGAAACAAGAACTAATCCAGTCCATGGGACCCAATATCAACTTTTTGCAGCTTGAATCCACAGATTAAATGAGATGCTTTCTAAATTTCCAATTGTTTCCAAATTTTTGCTACAATAGCATTTCTCGCCCCAAAACAAAAGTACAAGAAATGGGAAGAAACTAGTTAAGTAGTTTACCGCATAATCCTCTTCAGAAAGATGTCTAACAATCCATGAATTGAATATGAACGGGATTCCTCTCGACAGAAATTGTGTAGCTACAAATGTAGACAATCCATAAACGTAAAATACGAGATCACGAAATGAAAACATTAAGCTTGAATAAGGTGAAGATCGATTGATGGATTGACAAACCTAGCAAGTATTTGAAAGTGTGAGGCAAACTCGCAGCAGCAGCGGCATTTGTCATTCTCTCTGACAGTTTTTTTCCTCAGCAAACTGACATTTCAATGCTATTTTAGCACGTCTTTTTTACTGAAACCAAATACAAGTGCCCGGCCGACGATCCGGAACGGCAACCGATTGGAGCAGGACGGCGGTGGCGGATGTGGGATACTGATCTATGGCGGCAGTTGGTTGATCGTGATCGGCAGAGGCAGGACGGTTCTGAGACCCAGTGTTGAACCGGTCTGATTTCAGTTGTCCAAAAATACTGCTAGTGGAATCAACAGTGTGGCTCCGGTTTGTTATTATGAAAAAAGATATCTTTGTTTTGTTTTGACTGTGGTTGGGACCATAGTTTTCAGAACCGGACCGGTGATCGAACCGGTCAACGTACTGATTCACTGGTTCACTGGTCGAACCGGTGGTTTAAACATATTTAAAAATTACGGAGTATATAAATAAATTTTATATATATATATATAAACACATACATATAGACACACACTTTCTCATTTATAAATATCTAAAAAAATAATTTATAACATTTAACTAAAATTATATTAAAATATTTGAGTTATTTTACTAAGTTAAAAAATAAAATTTACATATTAGAAAAAGAATATTTAAAATTTTATAAATGAAGACTTGGTTTTATTTTTTTTCAAATAAGTTGTTTAACATTAAAAATGCTCAAATAAAGCCTTTGCATGATATTCATTTTGTAATAATACCAATAGCTAGTATCAATGATTTTGTGTTTGATTCATAGCTATGTAATATTATATTTTTAAAATTAAAAAGGAATTTTTATACAATCTTTTTTTAATTATGAAATATTATAAAAGATTAAGTAACTTGTAACAAAAGCATCCTTGCTTCGATGGTTAGGAACTCAACCAAATGTCTACAAGGTCTTAGGTTCAAACCTCCATGGTTGCATGTTTTGGAAAAAATCGCAAAAAAAAAACTGGTTCGGTCGGTCAAACCGGCCGGTTCACACTGGTTCACACCGGTTCGATGCGTGTTACGGTCCGGACCGGACTGGTTGGACCACCGGTTCACCGATTTACGGTCTGAACCGGCCGGTCCGGTTTTTAAAACTATGGTTAGGACACTCTTTTAAATGGAAGGTCACGAGCTCATTCTACAATTGGGACTATAATTTAAATTGCTCCAATAGATTGAGAAATATGTATAAATATGTACTATATTTATAATAAAGTTGGTAGTGTTCAAAAAAAATAATTTTTGTGGCGAATCGTTGCATGCAATGACTTTGAAAGGGATGAGGTGTTCTTTTCCTGAATACTCATACATTTATATTTCATTTTTATTCAATCATCTCTTATCTTTAACTCTCTATTCTCCATAATATTGACTCTCTTTAGAGTCTTTACTCTAATCAATAATATTGTCCACGTGGCGCAGGTCAATTGGCAAAGGTAGTTGGTGGGCCTTACAAATGACCTACATGGTGAGGGTTCGAATTATAGAGGCAACTCTTTGAATTCAGACGCTTGTAGAGTTGTAGATGAAATTTGTCATGACAAAAATCTCATTCTCCTTGACTCGTCAAGGCATATTGCGTAATTTACCTCATCTAACATTAATGATCATTTATACTTAATTCTTACATTACATTATATACTTTATATGGAGTATTGTTTTACTATTTCTAAGACTTCGTATTATTTAAATAGGGGTTCCCGTTCCATGTCATGAGATGAACTGGTGCCGCTACAGTGTCCCGTTCGTAAAATTAGTAGTTCTTACCCCCCTCTCCTGATAACCCCTCCCTCTCTACCCCTTCAATTGCACTTCCTCAAGTTTATTTGACTTTAGAGTCAAAATTTTGATTCCTAAATTTAATAAACTTGGGGAGTGCGATTGAAGGCAGGGTACACTCGAGTCAGGGCAAGGTGTGGGGTTCGAGGTAGAAATTATCAATTTTATAAACGGGACACCGTAGTGGTCCTGGGTCATCTCATGATATGGGGTTCCAATGTTATAGGAACCACTCTCTAATATTTTTTAGTTAACAAACTATAAAGTGTATTGCTACTAGATGTAAATTGATCAATTTCCCACATAAATAAGTTGATATCACTTGTTCGGAGTTCTCTCGTGCTAAAAAAGGGATTATTTCTTCTTTCGCGAGCTCGAACTTCCAATCGAGGTTCCCTAACATTAATGAACATGATGATATCACAAACGACCAGTTCAACATAACAAATCAAGATGAATGGATGCATGTCTAATTTATATTTAAAAATGTAACACAATCTTTAATTTTTGAAAAATAAAAAATACATTTAAATAAAAAATATTAAAATTGGAAAGATGAGTGATTAAATATAAAAATGTGTATGAAACTTAGTATGTATTTCATAAAATAAAGAAAATGAATGATAACAAAATATTGTTTCAAATGTTTGTTAGTAATTTTAAATTTATCTACAAAAAATCAAATCTTGAACAAATATCGAGTTATAATTTACACATGATAAAACTTGAATTAAATTTTTAAAATAAATTTATTACTTTTAATGAACTAAAAAGGTAATTTAATCTATAGTATATTAGTACATACATATGTTCATTTGGGGATGTTCGATATGGAAACTTATTTCATATCATTTCTAAATATCAAACCGATCTTTCAATTCCAATGGATTTAGTAGAGTTTGTGTTTAAGGTTCGGTTTTGGATTCTCGAGAAATGTTAAACCAAATTACCAAACACACCCTAATGCAAAGTTGAGCAACTTTGCAAGAAACCCTAGGTTTCTTTAACCGTTTTTAACTAGCAATCTCGCTGGGGCTCAACTTAGAAGCAATCTCGCTGGGGCTCAAAGTTGTCCTGCATCAAACCGTTAGGATCCGTTTTCGTTCTCAACTTAGAAGCAGAAAGATTATCGATGATGGCATCTGGCAGATGGATAGAAACGGGAGCAGATTTGTGGAAGGACAAGGCAAGATCGCTGCAGTTACAGCTACGAGACCGTTTCAGAGTCGCCGTCGATCAGCACCGACGCCGGCCGAAGCTCTCCGAAGGTTACTTTGCGACCACAGTACAGCGATGGGCTCAGCGCTTTAGCGATTTCCGTCAGGAGTCGCTGCATTCGTCTCCCACGTTTTACCGCAAAAGAGGTCCCCCCCCTACCTTTATAATCTGTCCAAAATGCCCAGTCTAGTCTAGGTTAAAATAGGTCAAGGCCATTCCGACATGTATCTTCATTCTTCAAATTTAGGTTAGAGTTACTCTGCGGCAATTTGCGGTTCTAGAAATTTCATTTCTGTCTGTGATGCTTCTGTTGTTTTACAAGATGTAGTTTTTGTTAGCATAATATTATTACAGAAGCATTTGCTTCTTGTTCTTTCACCTGTTGTGAATCAAAGCGGGGAAGGTGAAGTTCTAATTTATGGTGGCGTGGTAGCTTAGCTAGTGCGATTGATATATTGCATTATTTCGTTATGGCTTTGCGGAGTTAGGATGGATTATTTTGTCAATGATGATAGAGGATCAAATGTGCACATTCAAACAATTAATGACTGATTTAACCTAATTGCCATATAAGGGGAGCTCAAATTTTTTTTCTTAATACAATAAGTTTTGAATAATATTGGAAGTACATAGAATCAGTTAGTGATTTTGATCACTGTTGAATATGGCATACCTCTAGCACGCCTATCTATTTGCATTGGTTATCTGTCTAAGCAAGTTGTAAATCCGAAAAACACAATCCCTATATGTAATCCAAACTTCAACTGCCCAAAAGTAAATGCGTCATTTAACTGTCAACTTCACTTGATGAGTTCAGTGTGGTTACACATTACAAACGACTTAACGACATTTAACTGTCAACTTCGCTTTCAAACCATACTTATAGTTTAGGTGCTTGTGCCTTATATTTTCGTTGTATTGGTAAGTCATCATTTTTTTTGTTCTAAGGCCATTATTGTTATTTGCTTTAACTTTTTGCTTCTGTATTCATCCTCTCCCCCTTCATTCTATTTTCAAATATACATCACTGGATCTTCTGGGTGCAGTTAGCAAGCACATTGATCAGGAAGCGGATTCAATCCTGGAACGCATGCTTCAGGCTGTTGCTGTTCCTCTTCTTGGAAATGTGTGCCATGTATTTATGCATGGCTTCAATCAAGTGCAGGTAATTTGATGTTTATGTGTAGATAAATGGTCAAGGAACTACTTGTTAGTTAATGAGAAAATAAGGTCGCAATCATTACAGATATATGGTGCGGAAAAATTACATCAAGCTGTGCTCAATCGGCCAGGGGACAAGCCTTTAATTACGGTAAGCATTGTCACTTAACAACTAAATAGGTAGAGATCAAATCTCCACGCTGTAACATTTTTCATTCTGTTCTCATTTCAATACTATTCCTTGTGTTGATTCAATAGTGGTTTTTCTTCTTTTAGGTGAGCAATCATGTTGCGTCTATGGATGATCCACTGGTTCTTGCTGCTGTGCTTCCCCGAAGTGTTATTTTCGATGCTCAAGCTTTGAGATGGACACTTTGTGCAACTGATCGGTGCTTTCAAAATCCAGCTACAACGGCATTCTTCAAATCTGTTAAAGTCCTGCCTGTATCTCGTGGTGATGGAATTTATCAAAAGGTACTTTAAGAGTTTAGGTGCTCATCTTGTTGCAGCGGATGTGAAATACTCTGTGTCTCCGTATGTTATTTAACTATGAAATGCTCATACTGATGTCTGAAATTATGTGGCTCATATTAATAGATACGTACTCCCTCTGTCCCGAATTAATTGTCCTAGTTTGACTTTACGGGGTTTAAGAAAAATGTCGAAAAGTAAAAAGTAGGTGGTTGAAATTTGTTTAGAGGAAAGAGAAAGATTGTGAAGTACATATTCTTTACTTTATTAAGGAAGATTGACAGTTATTTTGGGACAAACTAAAAAGGAAAGTAGGACGATTAATTTGGGACGGAGGGAGTATATGTGAATATGGAATATGTAAGCTTTTTGGCAACACTGTAACATGTTTATGTTGTACTTGAGAGCTTTTTTAATAGATACTCAGAATATTTGACTAGTAGTATTTTTATAGTCTATATTCTTACAAGGTGGATATATTCAGTCCAAGCTACCACCTAGGCTTATTTTTAGAATTGTCTTTTTAGAATTACGAGTCAATTGTATTGTGCGTTTTGGCTATTTATGAAGCAAGAAAGCCAAATCATATCTTGCTGTATGACTTTGAGATGATGTAATCAAATCAAAAATTGACATCATAGATCTTTGTTTTATGAAATATTGAAATATATGGAAAATTTCAAACTGGTCTGCATGGTTTAGTTCTTGTTGATCATTAAACCATTTTATATTCAAGAACTATCTCGTGTCTGATATTTACAGTGACAAAGACAACTTCAGATCCTATTGCTAACTCTATTTCATTGATTTGATATACAGGGTATGGACATGGCTATCTCAAAACTCAACCGCGGTGGATGGGTTCACATATTCCCTGAAGGTAGTCGTTCTCGAGATGGTGGAAAAACCATGGGGAATGCAAAAAGAGGCATTGGAAGGTATGCCTATAGGACCCCAGGGCAATTTTTGTGAAAGATGCATGCTTATTTCCAAAACCTTAAACTTCTTTCCATTGTTAAAAACACCTTAAGCAGGAGAGTTCTAGGAGCTCGCAATTTAACATATTCATCTGAGAAATTAAACCCCTGCACACCACTAATCTCTTGATAGGTTGGTCCTAGATGCTGACCGTGTACCAATGGTTGTCCCGTTTGTGCATACCGGGATGCAAGAAATTATGCCTATCGGGGCCAAGTTTCCTAGAATCGGAAAGACGGTATGTCTATCTCTTTGCCCTGGGAGTAGCTATTAAAAAAAATATTACTCAGTACTCCCTCTGTCCAACTTTTTGTCCCTTTTTTACCTTTGTTTTTTGCCCCCACTATTTTTTGTCTCATACCATATTTAGTCATTTGTGTAGTTCACATTCCATCATGTCCCAAAAATAGTGGGATGGAGGGAGCATGGCCGATTCACATCACTTTTCTTCTACATGGGTTTATTTATATTTTCCTTTGGTGTGAGTGTGTGTTTGTGTGTGTGTGTGGGGGGGGGATGAATAGTGAATTGGTATATTTATTTCTTTTGATTCATACTCTTGTTGCAAACTTCATAGGTGACTGTACTTGTTGGTGATCCCATTCTTTTCGATGACCTGCTTGAGGTGGAAGGAAAGCACCACATATCAAGAGGAAAGCTCTATGATGCCGTATCTGCAAGAATTGGTGACCGATTACATAAGCTGAAAGCACAAGTTGACAGATTAGCAGCTAAGCAATCTGTGAGTCAAGTGAGCTCTTTGGAACCCCATTCAGATGCAACCAGTGATGAGCGAGAAGACGACACGAATCAGGTCCCGTGCTTTAGAATGGGTGTTTCTGGTAATGGCGGGTTCGGATCAAGAATCAAAAGTTACATGGATTCAATTGACCCGACACTGTTCTCAGCTAGAGGTTTGTTTGTGAAGCCCAGTGCAAACACGAACCCAAACCGTTATACACAAAACATTCATGATATCGGTCAAGTGAGGGCGTGGCGTGACTTCTTGAGGCCGAACTGTGAATTAAACTATTCTGCCTGAGGTAATGTTGGCACTGCTCATTTTTGTGTCTATAAATATAGAGTTGATTTTGCCCTTTTGGCCACGTTTTTGCCCGTTTACTTGCAAAACTAAGCACAGCTCGAACTTATAGTATAAGGTTATGATGGACGTTGATCCGCGAGAGATATTTATGATTATAGATGCTACGATTGTAATTTAGAACTAAAATAGAAGAGATGAAGTTACATAGTGTTCTTTCTATATCAAGTTAGATGGCAGTGCTATAGTTTTGGTCAAGTTTTGTCCTATTCGTTTTAATCATGCAAAATTTGTTAAGGTTATGCAAAAAAACATATACTCCATTGTAGAATCAGATTACAAAGTACCCCGTAGTACATTCTAGCGCTATTCCCAAACGCAGTCCAATATTTTTAGACATGATTTCTACCAAAAAAATGCCTCCATAAACTCATGAGTACTCAAGAAAATCTTCATATATATTCAACACCACATTCCCCTTGATCAATCCAGCAAAATATAACATAGAATTGAAATGTTTTTGGTCACTAAAAAATTACATGATCGACCTAAAGTTTTAAATAATTCATTTTTTTTTGCAAATGATCGTCTCATCGATGTGGTGATAAGGTTTAATATTTTTTTGCTCCTAGTAAAATTAGTGAATTTTTTGAACGGTCACTCAAATTTTTTTTTAATTAATTAATCCTTGTAATTTGTTTGGTTGTTGTAAGACCTATCATTAGAATTTTTTTTAGAAACATCATTACATTAGTTGTGAAATGGTGCTACAATATTCTCTGTGAAAAGTTACTATACTACGAGTGTAATTTTTTTAACAATTCGGTATAACTTTTTTTGGAGAGAGCTATCAAACAACATAAACAACAACAACCCAGTTGAATCCAGGACTAAAATATGTTTCATATACCAAAATAAGATTTAAATATTTATATTTCTTCCGTACCACAATAATATACCGTTCAACGTATAATACTCTTTTTATATCTCCCAAAATAAGGTTATAATCTTTATATCAGGTAAACTTTGTATGGTTTATATCAATTCTGTCTTCTTTGCACAACTTTCAACCACTCAGTTATGTTTTTAATCTTCATACATTGTTAATTGTGGAATATTAAAAAGGGACACATGGATTGGAGTACCAAAATATATACTCTCTTTGTTCCACAATAGATGCTACTCTCATGTGTGAAATCTCATCACTTTTTAAATCATTTTAATTATAAATTAGTTTAGAAATAAATTAAATAGTATAAATTGCATCGTTCAAAAGTACATTAAAAATAGTTTTACAAAACAAGAATCGTTGTTCCGATAATTTAAGTTCAAATGAAGTGTAATTAATAATAAAAAATAAATGCAACGGATTGTAAATGGGACAAAGAATAGTTAGTAGTCCGTAGTCCAATGTAAAAGTCAAAGTAGGAGTCAAAGGCGGAATTCTTAAGCAAGCCCTAGATTTTAGGAAACAAAATGCAATATATATATATATATATATATATATATATATAGGTTTTGGATCAAATAAGAAAAAGATCTAATGAAAGAAATAAGAATAAATATCATCCGTTGGATCCACTTTATCTGTCATTTCCCATCTAAACCGTAGCAAGGGTAAAAAAGAACTTTAACACTCTGGGCATTATCGTTCCTCCTTCTTCTCCGTGAAGTTAGCCCGCGTTCCTGCGCACCTTCAGCCCCGGTTACGACGCATTTTCAGTTACCGGAAGATATTTATTGGCATGGATTCCTCTTTAATTCTTCCGCATATACGTCTGCGTCCTCCCCCCCTTCAGCGTAATACCCTCAGGAACTACTGGCGTGCCCCCTTCATTTAACCTATGGAAGTTCACGGAGACAACGATTACGCGATGGAATTTCACTCACAACCAGGTACCCTTTGAATTCAACCCTGTTATTTTGTAATTTTTCGTATCAGTTAATTATTATCTCTTTTTTTTGGAAAAAATTTAGTATTTGTGTGATTGAAAATTTGGTAATTGTGTGAATTTCGAAACTCTGGGTTTAAGAACAAAGTACCAATCCCAATTCTGAATGAATTCAACCCTGTTATTTTGTAATTTTTCGTATCAGTTAATTATTTATCTTTTTTTTGGAAAAAATTTAGTATTTGTGTGATTGAAAATTTAGTAATTGTTAGAATTTCGAAACTCTGGGTTTAAGAACAAAGTACCAATCTCAATTCTGAATGACGCATTACGCCAATTAATGCATCCACAGAACATAGTAATGCATTTTCTTATCAAATCTATGCACTATAATCATCCTAGCTCACATGTCCCACAAAAAAGAAGCAATTCTCACCAATTATTTAGCCATTCCTTTCCCAAGTCTCACTATTATGCAACAGAAATGGGCATATGTGTTTTTCTTTCCTATTATGCAACAGAACTGGGCATATGTGTTGTGTGTTGACCTAAAAAGCAGAAGGTGTGACATTCCTGCTTTTTAGCACAACACACACAAATTATTTTCCTATCAAATCTATGCACTATAATCATCCTAGCTCACATGTCCCACAAAAAAGAAGCAACTCTCACCAATTATTTAGTCATTCCTTTCCCAAGTCTCACTACTAAAGCTGTCAATACATTGCTTCATATTAAAACAGTTATGTGCCACACACCGTTATATTGCTCCACTCGATTGTAAGTCTCCTTCCACATATGAATGACCCGTTGAGGTTTAAAACTAATTTAAAACTCCACATCTATGCTGAGATTTTAATGCATTCCTAAGATGAAATATTTAGGTGTCATCCTCAAATTTTGGTATATTTGCTTGACTTGAATTGCATTATCCAGCCTACACAGTGCAATTTTATCCATTTTTATACCCCAAATCAAATGCACAAACTATGTTCCTACTACGTATGTTATTTCAATATCATGCCTTCACGTTGCGGCTGTAATATTAAAATAGTGCTGAATTATTCACTTTTATTCATACAGCTACCCCCACAAAGTATCAGGAAGTGCCAAATGAAGGCAGCAGTTCTTACGTCGAACGTCATTAGGTCCCGCAATGCCCTGATAACTACATTCCAAAGGTCGGCATGGTTTTCAAGGACTTGGATGATGCTATTTGTTTCTATCGTGCTTATGCTGCTGAGGCGGGGTTTGATGTGCGCAAGACTACCACTACAAAGAAAGAGGGCTCTATTGTTTGGCAATACGTTGTATGTAGCCGCGAGGGTAAAAAACATGTCCCCACAATCTCCCACAATGATGCATCACATGACATTGGACAGGCTGCATTATCTAAACCTGGGAGAAGAAGACGCATTTCTAAGCGTATAGGCTGTATGGCACGTGTTGCATTTCGCATCCTTGGACATGATGGTTACGTTCTCAGCATATTCGAAGAACAGCACAACCATCCTCTCACTTCTCTCCCTTACAGGCCATTTTTGAAGATCAACAGGAACATTGATCTAGGCCATAAGAAGTTCATACTCAACTGTGCTAAACCGAACATTGGTACCATGAAATCATACCGACTTTTCAAGGAGTCCGTTGGTGGGTATTCAAGTGTTGGTGCTACTACTGTGGACTTCAAAAACTTCAAACGCGATTTGAAGGCCTATATTGCCGGTGGAGATGCTCAAATGGTCATTGACAAATTATTCCGAAAATCAGAAGTATGCCCTGGATTTAGGTTTGATTATGAAGTTGACGAGTACGACTAGCTTTCCAGGCTATTTTGGTGTGACGCTGCTTCCAGGAAAAGCTACTCCCTGTTTGGTGATGTTGTCTCCTTTGATGCCACATATCAAACCAACAGGTCATGGATCTATTAATTTCCATTTATCACATCTCACCTCATCCCAATAGAGCATGCAACTCTTTGTTGATTCATAGCACTATCCATCTCCTTATCACTTTTTGTAGGTACATGATGATATTCGCTCCGTTCACTGGTGTCGACAACCATAAAAAGTGTGTGACATTCGGCTTTGGCTTGCTGTCAAGCGAGGACGCTCAGTCATATTCATGGTTGTTGAGATCATTCATGAATGTGATGGGGAATGCTCCAAGCTGCATCATAACTGATTAAGATCCATCAATGCAAATTGCAATCGAAGAAGTCTTACCACAAACCAAGCATCTCTATTGCATGTGGCATATTATGAACAAACTATCAGGGAAAGTTGGTCAGGTGTTAAGCAAGGATACGGAATTCATGAATCACATTAATCAGGTGGTCTGGACTCATCACTTGGACAAAAAAGAATGGAAAGCACAATGGCGCAGTGTTATGGCAGACTACAACCTCATGGAGCATTCGTGGTTCAAGTCTCTATACACGTTACGTAAGTTTTGGATTCCGGCGTATTTCAGGGATCTATTTATGGCCGGGCTTTTGCGCACTACGTCTAGATCAGAGAGTGAAAATAGTTTCTTTGACGATTTCACCGACCGCAACTTTAGCCTAGTTGAATTATTAATGCAATTCGAGAGTGCAATGAAGGACCAACGGTTCAAATTTACTCGTTTGAACTCAGAATCCGAGTCGGGAATTCCAGTGTTCAAAGCCCCATTAAAGATTGAGAAACACGCTGCATCGTTATTCACTCTCTCTGTCTTTTATGATGTGCAAAAAGAGATTTGTGCATCCTGCTTTTCATGCGCTATTGTATGTATCCAAAACAGTGAGTATGCTTCCGAGTATCAGATCAGCGATGTAAGTGGGATGATATCAACTGTCCGCTACTGTGAACGTGATGGGACCACGCATTGCAGTTGCAAAAACTACGAACGCATTGGCTTGCTATGCAGGCACATCTTTGTTGTTTTCAAAAACCTGAAAATAGAAAAGATCCCCGACTTCTATGTTACCAACCGGTGGTGCAAATTCCACTTGCTCAAACCAATGTTCGATGTCGGTGGCTCAGAAATGGACAAGGTATCATTTACGGATCAAAATAAGACTCTTGTTTCTCGATTGATGTCAGACATCCACTTTTGTATTGCCTTGGTGGAACACACCCCTGATTTGCTACTGACCTTTTCCAACACTATAAATCAGCACAAAGAGGCCCTAATCGACAAACTTCAAGATGGCAAACTATCATCTGACACATCATTGGTGTTTGAAAACTTTTGTGGCACTTCTGCACCTTCAGAAGTTCGTGTATTACCCCCTGTCCAAGTAAGTACGAAGGGCAGCGGTAAGCGTATCAAAGGAGGAAAGGAAGTTAGCATTGAAGAATCAAAGAAAACCAAACGCTTGTGTCGGACATGCAAAGAATATGGCTTCCACGACGTCAGGAACTGTCCTATGAACCATGAGAAGTGATAAGTCTGTTTTCCTGTTCCACTTTTATTGTTTATTAAATTTTCTGTTATTTTTATTCCATCAATATGTCTCTGCTTTTTTAACATTTCTTGTATTCCTGAACTGAAAAAATCAATTCCAATGGTTGAATGACTCATTTTCAACACCAATTCCCCATTCTCACAGTCAGTACCTCTCACCTCCCTTTATAACATGCTCATTTACTTAATGTATCACCTTCTTCTATCCATGTAGCATTTCATTTATTTTATACTGCATAAATCAGCTGTGCCAAAAATGGTGACCACTCTTTAACTGAATATTCATACAAGAGTTGTGCATTCCACCTATAAAATAGATTTCATACCAATATATGGATATATTAAGGTGAATATGAAGCATATTTTAATTTATTTCATGTATGGGTTTTTTTTAGATCGAGGTTTTAAAACCATATAGAGTGAGGTTCTGTTTACTAAACGTGCTCACCCCGTTTGTAGAACGTTTATAAATGGCAACGCATATTATGTTGATCATGGTATGTCACAGACAATATATGCGGCTGAAACACCCAGAAATGCACAAGCAAATCAAACGGATGTATTATTCAAAAAAAATTTGGAGGAACGATTTTTGAGAGAAAACAAAATAAAATGGTTATCTCGCCTTTTCCTCCGCAAAATTCGATGGGTTTTATTTCCTTTCCATAAATATATTTTGCCTTGTCATTTTCTTTTCCTTCAACTTTTACTCTCTAACCAAACAACACACAATTATTTTGCCTATTGTTTCATTTTCCTTTTCCTTCAAATTTCTTGATCCAAATACGGTGTTAGTAAACCACAACTAGAATACTTCACTATTCAAATGATTTATTATAACATCATACATTGGTACCGATTTTCTCTATGTTCATATCACAATGCTGAAACCTCTGTTTCGAACAAATACAATTTCAATCACTTCATCAATCGCTATGTTCACACATTTTGAAACAACAAACTTGTTTAATATTCACTTAATCCAACAAGTTACAACTCTCCAAAAATACGTAATGACAAACACATTCTTAAAAAACCACAAACGCACCAAATACGGCAACACCACATCTTCATTCAAAAAACCATAACCATTCACACCATCTACAAAAAAACAATTGCCTCAAATCCACACAAAAAAAAATTAATAAACCAAACTATGAGCTGATAACTAGTTCCCTTATAGCACTCCCATCAATGTATGGTGTCACCAACTTTCACCAACAACTAATAAAAATAATTCAACAAACACACAAAAATAAGATGCAGCCATTTTAGGGGTGGGTTCACTTAGGATCCTTTTCCTTCCTCTCCCTTTCGAGTTTCTCTGACTCTTTGTAAACCTTGTCCAGCAGTGCATTAACTGGGCTTAAAAGTATACATGCATAGTATTTGCAGCGCAGCAACAGCATAGGCTTCTGATTTAACTTCGACAAGCCACTGTTCCATCCCTTGCCACCATCCCCCATATACGTCTCCATATGACGCATGGTCACCACACCATAGTCAAATGTAGCCTTCGGATCTCTCCAAGGAAACATAATTCTCTTAGCAAGCATTTCTCTAACACATTTACCTTTGTAAACAAGCATCTGCTTCTCAAGAAAATCACCCAACAACCTCACATGGTTGAAAAATTTCATGATAATAAATCATCCACATTAATATACCTTATCCTAAAAACCATGCACCCAAAGTTCTTACAACTCGCTTTGGCATGTCACCATATCTATCTTCGTTTTTTTCTTTCGCTGAAGAGCTATCCAGGATGTCACACCTTCTGCTTTTTAGGTCAACACACAACACATATGCCCAGTTCTGTTGCATAATAGGAAAGAAAAACTGCACATAATCCAATAAATCACACATTAACAATTTCTCTCAAACACAATGAACTACTGATATATATATAGAACGATCCAACTAATTTCAATCTTCACATTGCGTCTACTATAAACATTTTTACCAGTTCAGCTTTCCCCCAGTTGAAATCATCTGCCATGTCATCCCACGCAGGAAGCAGCGCATTCGCAAACATGTTCTTCACGTTCGCCTCAGACACATCGACTATATCCCCATTTGCAACCTTTTGATTTCAAAACATGTCAGATTAAGCATCATGAGAATCCCCATTCAAACTAAAGTATGCACACAGAAAAAAACATCTTACACAATCCATGCTCCTAGCAAACACACGCAACGGGGATTCGTCACTTCTGAATTTCTCATTGTGGTTGAGTATTGTTGACCACACATCTATCACCCTCTTGGAAATATGTTTCCCAATATCCAACGACGCAATTTCACCTCTTATCAACTCCAATCCATCCTTCATGAAAACAGCTTCATCCCTAAACATCACAATATGTGATTATTAAAGAGCTAACATTCAAACTTTAATCCATACATATTCAATAATTTTCAATCAAAATTGCAGACTTCAGAACAAAAACTTACTTTGGAGCATTTGGATTCTGCAACACCCAATTCGTCACCCTCCTCTCCATGACAGATAACCCATCGGAAAGATCTATCAGTCGTGTAAGGTAGGGTGATCTCAAAGGGCCCGCAGGTTTTAATGTCCTAGCCAACTTCCTTGCTGCATTGCATGGCTTCACCTACCACATAACAATAATATTTTTCATTAAGTCACCAAAAAAATCCAACCACACCACCCCTTACCATGCATGAATTAATTTTTGACATCTCTAAAAAAATCATTCCTACCACTACTTTTGAACATTCTGGAACAGTTCCTCACACAGTTTCATCACCCACTGCACTCACACCAGCAACCTACGCATATATCAACCATTGGTGTGATCACCACGTAACAAAATGCAACACATAGATCACCAACACCACTACGAATAACGGTCTTACCGCTGTCATACCAATCCTGTCCGGCTGATTCCTGCTTCCACCAGCCAAATCCCTATCAACTGCCTGCAACAACAAACAAAAAACAAACATAACCAATATGAATTGTTATGGTACACCAAACAGCATGATTCACAACACCAAGTAACACTCTACGACAATAATTTAAATTATATTTCCCACATGACATTGCACTTCTCTAGGTGTTATGAAATCATTTTCAACCTCGGGGTTACTCTCTGGCTCATTCACAACCCGAACTGCAGGAGTGCTAGGTGTTTTCTGCAAGCACCCATATCACCACCATCAATATTCACATTCTCATTCTCTCCATCCAATTGCGAGAACCCCAGACTGAACGATGGCATATCCTCCGGGATCTTCTTGTATTTTGAACGTGCCAGCACTGCCTGTTCATTCGCCACCAACTGATCTATGTTTGCAGGGTCGCTCCAGAAACCTTCATCATAAGTCACCTTAGAAAATCCTCCATCAGGTGTTTCTAAGCTTCCACCACCTCTACGTTGTGCCAGACCCAATAATCTACCCGCTGCAAGCTGCAGCTGCTTGAACACATCATTCTCCATGGTACCAGGTGGTGCACTCTCAATCAACGACACTAGGTCGATGATTGTGGTAGCCAGAACTCTTCCATTTTCTGCAAACTTTTGAACAAAAACCTGATGCATAAGGGTGTCATAAAATAAAAAGTATTAAATTTCAACAACCCCAGGGTAAAAATAATCAGTACAGGGTTTGCTAAGTAATCCCCCCGCACTTACCTCAACCTGATCATCCCTCGTCTCTCCCCTTGGTTCTGGTGCATCACCATTACCATTTTCCACATTATCCTATTCTAAACCTGCCCCAACATCTGTGTCACCAGAGCTCGCATCCATCACCTCACCAACAAATCTACCATCGTCATACCCCAACCCGAATCCACCTGCTCTGACCTCATTGTTTTCCCTATCCCTCAGGATCTTAGATGTCCATCCCAGAAATGCAGGCGACATTCTCTCAACGTCCCTTCTATAGAGCACCACTCGGTCCACGTAAAACACCTTAAAAAATAGATAACAAATACTACATTTAAAAAACAACTACACTATAATGAAGTAAATTAGAGTTGTCAGAAAACAAAACTCTTACCAACAAGCACAATAGAGGTCCAGTATAGTATTTTCTATTCCCCTTCTCCCACTTCACTCTACTGTCAATCAATGCTCGGTGCACATATTCACACTAGTTTAAGTGTGCAATCCCATCCACATCCTCCAAGCTTTTCAATACCCAATTGTTTACGTACCCATGACTCGGGCTATCAACCAAAACTGACACGACTAACAACACGAAAAGACGAACAAACCACAGACCACCATCAGTATATTGCAGTACCTTTTCACTAAGCTCTAAATGGGTGATCTTGTTGTCTCTCCTTCCGATCTCTACCCTCAACTGATCCAGTATATCACATTTCTCTGACTACCTTAGCACGCCCACACGGCAAACCCAAAACGTGTCTAATATCATCCACCGTAACACGCACCTTCGTTCCATCTGCAAGTTCAATACTGCTACTCCTAGGATTAAATTTCTCTACCACCCAAAATCCTAGTTTCGCCGGAAGCTCTGTTAACTTGATCTTTAACATAGACCCAAACCCAATTCTAACAACTTCCCGCCTCTGAACTTCATCCAGAGCTTCAACCACTTTTTGCAAAACGTTGGGAGAAGCTCTTGACTGAATTCGTAGGTACTTCTCCTTCAATTTGGTTATCCCCTCCCTCTTTCATTTCTTTACTATTGCAGCATTCTTCCTCGAAGCACTCGGTGAAGGGTCAGTTGATGTCTTCCGAGGTGGGTCATCAAATGCATCATCACTGTCAGTCTCCTCTTCTGCATTCCCGCTTTCATCTCCCCCACTCACTGCATCATCTCCAGACACATCTGAACCAGCATTATCATTCCCATTGGCACCACCATCTTCCACAGAATCTTCGTCATCATCGCCCAGGTTGACATGCGCAGCGTGTACTTTTGGCCTTTTCATAATCTCTGCAAGCTGCAATCTACCGCTTCTTCGAATCAGTGAAGCCATTACAACAGATTTCTTGCTGTGCTTGGAACTTCTTTTCAAGGCAAGATCTGCAGCCCCAACAAAAAAAACCAAAAACAAAAAGTCATAAGCAAGGATAAAATGCCAAATCACAACACAAAACATAAAAATGCCAATGTGGTGTTTGTGTGGCCACCTAAACAACCATTCCACATCAAACAACAGCAAACTAGAATATCCAAACCATTTTACACTTTAAATAACCAAACACTTATGTATTAATATGAAATGCACAAAATTTCAATACACAACATTTCAATACACAACATTTCAATAAACCTAAACATAATACCAATCACAAAGCAGATTAATAACCCACAGATTGATACAGTACCATATTATTAACAAAGCTAGATGCACAGTAAGTCCCCATCAGTGCTAATATTGAACCATGCATTGTACAAAGCTAAAGAAACACCAACTAATACAGTATATGCATCAGTCCTCACACACAATTCCTTACTGCAGCTTAACACTATCAAACTCCACCGCACCATTTTTCAAAATCACAAATTCTTACAATACGATATCCTACAACTCTCATCACTGCTTACCATACACCAATAAACGTTAATCTGAAGCCAGTCTATAACATTTTACTCACACACACTATCACATTGCTCAGACCAAAACATGCCTTTTATTCAACCCAATTGAATCGCATAAATATATAAAATGCAAACAAAGTATATAACTATTACGAATGCAATGCACAATATTAGTAACAAAATGAAAACTAAACAATAGCTCTTCACCAGGGGAAAACCCATGAATTAGCAGAACGAACACTACAAAATAAGCCAAACCATGGCATACATTGGCACCAGGACACTGCTTTATCCACTCAATGCAATATAACTTCAAAAATACACACAAACCAAAATATAAGCAACACCATAACTTACACACAATCACCATAGGCATCGAATGCATATCTGAAAGCAGAGTACTTTACGAAAACCTATACTATTTATATAGTACTAAAACATCAAGACAACACTACAATGCTCATATAAAAACTCAGAAGGATGTCTATTGCGCCACAACAATATAATCCTCTTTAAAAAGGTCAAACATGGTGCACATTCACAATAAATTAGTGCATATATGAAAAGGACACCTTAGCCAGAAACAAACACTCAATCAGATCAAAAAAATGCACCAAAGCCTATTCACAGGAAACAACTGTGGAACACATCGCACACAACTTAAAATGTAAAGTATAACACCACAGTACACATGCTTCAATCACCAAAACAGCATAACAACATAAAAAAACCAGATATCCACATGCAATACATGAAACGCAAACACACTATGCAAGTCATTTTGTTTATCAAATAAAAACACCATCTATTAAGTGCACTATAAGGATAGCAAATAGCATAAAAACCCCATATACATGTTCACAACTACTGAAAGAATTTAACAAAACATAGTAAACACTAAAATCAAAATAAAAATTCACATTGCTCAAATTTAGAACACCCTGATTTTTGAAACCAACCCAACATGCACATCAACCTCAAGATGATGCGAACACATAACACTGCAAAACTTAAAATCATCAAAGCACTAAATAAACATCCATCCTTCCTATAGTTATAATGCACAAAAAACCCACACACAACATAAAAAATAAAATCAAACACCCATTTTGTCTCAGATTCAGAGAATAAAAAAAACACATATCCTCGGTGTCAAATGACTGCTTGAAAACCAGCACGCGCCACTGTCTCCTCCCTCAACCAAACCCACGAAATTCAACCCAAACAATAAAAAACAATTTTGTGCTCTCCGCAACAACCAGTTAATGAAAATCTACACTAACAGAACACAAACACTTTTGAAAAAAAATTAATTCCAAAACCCCAGACCCTCACCCGCAGCCAAATTCACCAGTAAGACACCATTTTCCCAACAATCAACCAGTATCATAAGTAACAAATGCATCCTCTAACACATGCAAAACAAAAAACCCACCACGCACAACCCGTTTCGCCCAAACAAAAAAAGAGGCACATACCAGGTACTCCTTCACCCTCCATTTCTGCAATACACTTTCACCGGTAAGAAAAGCGCACAAGTTCGACCGAATTGCTTCAAAAAAACCTTGATAATGTAAAATCTCTGCACCACGACCGCAAGAAAAGCAGCGCAAACAGCGAGGTTTATTGAGAAGTGAAGAGTTCTATTCTGAGCCTGCAGCTTATTAGGCGGGATTCTCCAACATCTACGCATTTCATTAAAATCAAATCTCCCAAATATGCCCTTCCGCGATTCTACCGTCAAAAGGAGTGTAAAATAATAATTACACTTCCTATTTTAAAGATTTGATCTCAGCCACACGATTGAACTAATCCTAGGCTCCTAATTCATTCTTAGTTCTTTCATTGACATATATTCTTATTAGAACCCACCCATATATATATATATATATATATATATATATATATATATATATATATATAAACATACATACATACATATATACACACACACACACACTTATGGTGAGATGACATGCTTCAGTGAGATGACGCAAAGCTCACCACATTACACTACAAATCTCACCAATGGACAATGCAAAGCTCACCTAGAAATAAAGTAAAGCTCACCACTTTTAACATCAAAACTCACCTTTTTTTTAAATTTTAAATATTTAAAATTAATAAAAAATAAAATAGCAACACCGGTCAACAACCGGTCAGCGGCGGCAGGGCGGCGGCGGATTCCGGTGGCCGGCCGTAGGGCGGCGGAAGATTCCGGCGACCGGAGGCGGGGCGGTGGTAGATTCTGGTGACCAGAGGCGGCAGGCGGCGGATTCCAGCGACCGGTGGCGGCGGCAGGTGGCGGTCAAAGGTCTCGGTCAACGGTCAAACTCTAGTCAGTACCCCTTTCTTTGATTTTATTTTTTCAAAAAAAATTCAAAATGTTGAAAAAATATGGTGAGCTTTGCCTTACAATTTGGTGAGCTTTGTAGTTGTCCTTGGTGATCTTTGCAGCTGTCATTGGTGAGCTTTGCGTCATCTAACCGTAGTATGTCATCTCACTGGAGTCAATCCCTATATATATATATATATATATATATATATATATATATATATATATATATATATATATATATATATATATATATATATATATATAGACACACACACACACACACTAACGTGAGTGAGTGTGATTCACTAGCCTTGCCGCAACGCAACCATAATCAAGAAGAAAGAAGAAAGAAGAAGAAGAAGAAGAAGAAGAAGAAGAAGAAGAAAGAATGGAAGAGGACGTGGGAGCGGTGTTCCGGAGGATGCACAAGATGGAGGAGGACGACTAAGACATCGTCATTTTCATTCGGCAAGCCATCTCCGTCGCTTCCGTCGTCGCCCCCGACCAACTCATGAACCAGAGGACCCACATCCTCAAACTCCTCTTTAAGGATGATGATCATCATTGTCGTCGTCAAATTGATGCTCATGTTTCCCCGCGGCCGCTGGCACTGGACAATAACAACAAGAAGAACATCAACAAAAAACCCGTCGCCGCACCTCTTTCTTCTTCACGAAATATAAAGATCAAGATTGTCAAGAAGAAACCCCAGCACGAGTTGGCCGCCGCGGCCAATAATAATGCTGCTGGGTCCTTCAAGAAAGCCGCCGCCGCCACGGAGAATAAGCTGCTGGAAGCCGCCAAGAGGAACCCGAGGGAGCGTTACGCGGAAGTTGCGAAAAACAAGGCCAAGAGAAAGATTCAGTGCATCGGCGTTTCTAAAACCATGAATTAAGCTTCTCTCCCGCGACCTCAACAGAATCACTACTGCTTTAAACCCTAAGAGGAGGAGGAGGAGGACGACCGTGAAGATGATGATCTAACAACAACAAGAAGAAGAAGAAGAAGAAGAACATGATGATGAGTTCATGATGATCAACAATTTAATTAGTCTTTCTTGTTTACATGTAGACTACTTTGTAAGATTGAATTGACTAATGATTGCTCTAGTGGTGTAATTAAGAACTACATGTGGCTTGATCCCAGAATTCATATATTTTGTTACACTAGGTACGTAGGCAACCTCCATTAGAAGGTTCAACTGCGATTTTAATAGAAAAAAATTTATTCCTTGTTTCTGCATATGTTATTGTCCTTGTTTCTATTTTGAAATTGACAATTTTCTTTTCTTTACCCCAATAAGGTTCTCTAATCTTGATATTGAGAACTAATGTCATTCTGTAACATTGAATACCTACATGGTGTTCCATTGGTTCTAAAAGTTATTCCTAGAACATTGGGCATTTTGAGAAAGAGTGGCAATAGGGGAGGAACCACATTTGACCCAACAAAACCACATTTGTCAGTGACCGATATTATCTCGTAACATTGATTTTCATTGTCAAGGGAATGTGGCTCTTTTCTTTAGAGTTGTTATTTCATGTATTTGAATTGAAAGTGACAAGTGCAAAACATAAGTGATGATGTTTTAAACTTATACAACAACTAAATACTCGCAAACAAGATACTCCATCTACATAGCATTCCAACATCTTATACTTGAGCAGTGATGAGTTTGATTTCAGATTTTGGAGGCATAACACAATCTTCAATGTTCCTTATTCTACTGTTTCAACACTGGAGTACATATTGAGCAAAAATAATTTCATTCAATAACAATGTACAAGAAGCGAACCAAAGCCGAAGATGACTCCAGATACCATTATAGCAATCTGTGAGACGTATCCCGAGATGCAGCCACTGTCCTTCCTTAACAACATCCCTTCAAAGAAATGGCAGTTGACAAAAACCCCCATAGAATGAGAGAGTCGCTTGGGCGAGCAACAATCCGTCCCCACCCTTGAACAATCAATACGGGAGATGCTCGGAAGTCATATATGCCACGCTGAGAGCAACGCTTGTTCGCCATCAACCCCTGCCTTATTCGTCACATTGAAATTTTCTTTGTGCATACCGAATTTAATTTGTCTGAGAAAGAATTCACAAGTGCGTAAAAGTAACCCGCCCCACACTTCATCATCTAGACTCTCACATCATACAATGCGTTCCTCAACGAATGATCTCCATACACAAATACCTCTTGCACGTGTTTGATATGCGACATGAGGAAAGCATAAGCAAACGCGAAGAAAAATGGATCTGAGACATTGGGATAAAGAGGAATGTCGTATAGGAGATAAATGGGAGGAATTATGGATAGACCATATAAGGGGATGGTGTAGAGACAGTCAAGCACAAGGGCACCATAATACATGCTTTGAAGGACTGACATCCTCAATGGTCCGTAAATAAGAGAGGTAAACCTTGACAGACCAATTTGCATCAGTCCAAATGACCAACGCATCTGTTAAACTAACATTTCGCTCAAGTTCGTAGTGGAAGTTCATAAGAAACATGGCGTGGCAGGGCCATCAATCAACACAGAAACCCACCCGTTGTAGTGTAATTGAAGGCTTGTTAGGGCATCCTCCACAACATTGAAATATCAGAACCCAATCTACCATTAAATGAAACAAAAACTATATTAGAAGAAGATAAGTTAGTGATTGGTTGTTCCATAGACACGGTAGAGACTTGCCTGTTTGCCCCATTGCGTGCCAATGTCATAAGTGGCCGAGGCAAGCAATTGACTTTTGCAATGCATTTGAGGGCTTTTTGTCTTCAGCCAATTTCGGTTTGTAAAAGTTTTCCTGTAAAGCAGCTTCAATGAACTCATCGCTCGAGCCAAACAATTCTTTCAGCTCGTTGAGATCAACACCTGCAAGAGAGATAATAAGATCAAATGATTGCTTGATTTTAAAGGAGTAGGAATAAAAATCAAGCCCAAGTACCTATATGAATGTTCTTGGTTCCATGGATGGTAGTTCCTCTAAGACCATCTGAATGTTCATGAAAAAATTGCAGCCATATATGATAGGTCCTCTCAGACCAC